GAAGAGCAAAATAAATCCAAAGCAAGAAGAAGGAAGGAAATAATAAAGGAAAGAGCAGAAAACAATGAAATTCGAAAATGGAAAACCTATGGAGAAAATAAATTAACCCTAAAAATGGTTATTTGATAAGATCAATGATATTGAGAGACTTCTAGCAAGACTCACAAAGAAAAAAAGGAGAGAAGACACAAATTACCAGTATTAAGAATGAAAAAAGGGCTTGATTGTGGTAATCATTTCACAATCTATAGGTGTGTCAAAACATCAGGTTGTACACCTTGAGTGTACGCCACTTTTGTTTGTTGATTATACCTCAATAAAGCTTTTTAAAAAAGAAAGAAAGTGGATATCACTAGAGACCCTGCAAGCTTTAAAAGGATGATAAAGGACCACTACGAAAAATTATACACAGAAATCCAACAACTTAGATGAAACAGACCAATTCTTTAAAAACCACAAACTACCGAAACTCATGCAAAAATGAAATAAGATGAATAACCCTCTGACCGTAACAGAAATTGAATTTGTAGTTAAAAATCTTTCAAAAAAGAAATCTTTAGGGCCAAATGGTTTCGCTGGCAATTCTACCAAACATTTAAAGATGATGAAGCCTCAGTATTAGCCCTGGGTCTGGGTTTCAGGGGAAGGAGATTTTGAGTTCTTGACACTGCTCTGCCCCTTCCCTGTTAAGCTCCTGGGTTTGTCCTCTGCCTCCCAAAACCAGCGCTCTGGGGCTATGCCCCGTTAGAAGGTTAAAGCCATGGTACTTGTCATTCACTAGTTCATTCCTGTGAGCCTCCTACGCGCTTGAGCCTGGGAAGGATGCAAAGGTGGACCAGCCTGGGTCCTTAATCTCTGAGAATTTGTGGGAAAGACAGGATGGCAAATTAAACCTACTCGTGTTCTCTGTAGTGAAAAAAAACTCACAGAGAACCAACTGGGTTCACCCCTGCTCACACAATTTTTATTTTTAAGAAATATATGACATTCCTTCTCGTATCTCCAGACAGTTCCAGATGTAGACAGACAGACACCCTCCCACCCCCCATAGTTTAGAGAGGTCACCCTTTGTAGGAGAGTACAGAAAGTATTCAATCAACCAATCACCATATGGTTATTGCGCACCAACTCTAACCCTGGACCTGTGCTGGGCCCTGTTTGGAGAGGGAGCGTTCACAGATTAGCAGGTGACACATGCTTGCAACAAATAACTACCACACAGAATGAGGGTATAATGGGAGAAGTAGGTACAGTTGCCAGGGCTGCATAGGGTAGGAAGCCACTAACATTTTTTGGAGGTGGAGAAGGGGACTCAGAAGTCTTCAAAGAAGAGAAGAAACTTGAGTGGGGTCTTCAGGGTTGAGAAGGAGTCCTCTAAATGAGCAAGGAGAAGGCTGAGAATGTCCGGCAGAGGAAAAACACATACAAAGTGGTTATAAAATAGCACAATAGTCACTACGGTAAGTTAGTGTTGTCGGGTGGAGGGACCCAAGAGATGACCCTGGAGAGATAGACCTGGGACCCTTGCTGAAGGATGGGCCTCACTGGTCACACAAGGTTTTATTTACTTATTTATTTTCAATTTTAATTGAATTGTGTTAAGTATGCGTCATATGCACATGGTGTAAAATTTAAAAAGTATAAAAGGTATATAGAGGGGCTGGCCCCGTGGCCGAGTGGTTAAGTTCGTGCGCTCCCCTGCAGGCGGGCCAGTGTTTCGTTGGTTCAAATCCTGGGCGCGAACATGGCATTGCTCATCAAATCACGCTGAGGCAGCGTCCCACATGCCACAACCAGAAGGACCCACAACGAAGAATATGCAACTATGTACCCGGGGGCTTTGGGGAGAAAAAGGAAAAAAGTAAAATCTTTAAAAGGTATATAGAGAATATTGTCTTCCTCAATTCGCCACCCCCACCACCCAGTTCCTCTTCCTGGGCAGCCTTCCAGAACTATTTTCTGTGCGTTTACAATATGTGTGTGTGTGTGCATGTGTGTGTGTGTGTGTGTGTATTTTCCACTCAAAGATTGCATACTGTATTATACCTTCTATCCACACCTTGCTTTTTCACTTGGATATTGATTTTATTTATTTGGAATATGGATGTACTGTAATTCATTGGATCAGTTCTGTGTTGATGGAATTTAGGTAATTTCTAGTCTTTTGCTATTGTGAACTATGCTGCAATGAATATCCTTGTATGTAAATCTATTTGCACATGAAAGTATATCTATAGGATAAATTCCTAGGAATGGAATTGTTGGGTCAAAGAGCATAAGTATTTTTAGTTTTACTAGATAATCCCGAATTGCCATCCATGGAGGCTGTGCCGATGACTGCTGCCCCGCACCCTGACTGACAGAGTGTTCTTGAACTTTCTGCTCTGTTAGGCTAGGGCTTTGGTTTTATCCCGTAAGTGATAAGCCACTGAGAGGTTTTTGAGCCCCGGAGTGTCACAATCAGATCTGTTTTGGAAAGATCACTTAGGCTGCTGTGAGGATAAGAGGCATGGAAACCAACGAGGAGGAGGATTTCCAGTAGTCCAGGCGAGACAGAGTCAGCATTGGCAGCTTGGTTTAGGTAGTCGGCAGTGGAGACAGAGAAGGGAATGGATGTGAGATACTGAGGAAGTCGGTTCAGTGGGACGCAGGGACTGATCAGGCTGGGGAGACGGGGAGTGAAGATAGCTTTAGTCAGAAGTTCTGTTCTCGTGAGTCTTGTGTGCAAAGTCAGCATTTTCTTTGTAAATTTATAGATCTCATATCCACATTAATATTTCCTAATCCTGGAATACCAGGAGTTAAAAGAAAGTTCTAACATATTACTGAGTGCTGTTTGTCGGCTACAAGGAGTTTTTGTCTGTTAGTATCTTACTGGTTGTCAGAGAAGTTGGAGGAGCATTTTCGTTAAAATTCTGCCATCGGTCAGACTTATATTTGATGGCTCCTGATTATTCATCAAACTCTTATTGTTTCCATATTCATACTAGTCATTCAGAATTTCATACTCAGTAAAGTAACTGTAAATTCTATACTTAACTTAAAAAGTTTAATTCTATCTATTTTAAAGTCTTTTATGATGTGATCTGTTTGGTTTTGTGTGTGGTTCTTCTGATACATAGTAATATTTGTATGTAGTAATTTATAATTTAAAACATATAATATCATTAATTATCTTTTCTTTTGTCAATGTCTTTTAATTTTTTATGCTGAGTGATGATAAAATATTTCCTCTTCCTCTCTACCAAAGTTTTATTTCTGAGTGAAATAAATGTTTGTACAATTAAATATCCTGTATTTCCATTACCTGGTTTTTCAGCTTTGACTAATGTCTTTGGTTCCTGGCTCGTGTCAGTGATACAGTCAAGGAATTTACTCCACTTGTCACATTCCTCTTCCCCTTTTGTACTAGTTCTATTGTTTCTGCCTCGTCAGGGCATAAAACATTGGCATTCTGACCTGCCCCTCTAAACTCCTGTGGTTTTAGTCTTGGTTCTACGGTTAAATCCATCTTCAGTGCTCACCATCAGTTCTTTTGCTGTGGTTCCCCTAATCACCTTTTGGTTGGCCAGTTTGTTCTCTGGTAGTTTCCTCAAGCAGGGCTCTTGAGAACAACATTCCTTAAGCCCTTGTATGTTCAAAAACAATTTTCTAAGCTTAGCAATTTTCGGGAGGTTTCTTCAGGAGTGTATTTTTGCTGGTGTTTGAGGAGATCTGCTCCACTGAGCTATTCCACTGCCCGCTCCCTGTCTCTGCTGGACGTCTCCCTTATGTGTCTTCTGCTTGATTTCTACCCACTCCGCCACGATCCTACAGCTTCATACGTGGAGTTTGAGGATTCGTCATCTTAGGATGAGCCCTTTTTCTAGGAGCTGTGATTTGCTGGCATATTCTGAGGCCTGCTGAGCAGTTTCACTGTTTTTTCCCCCAAACAGCTTTTGTTCCTCTTCAACCTCCCAGTGTTTCATCTATCTGCTTTTGGCAGCCCCTACCCATTTTTTTTTGAGACTGTAGGTTTTACTTGCCTCCAGTTTTATTAACAACAGTTTGCTTTGTTTGTTTCTTGTTTACTTTGTTGGTTTCGATTATATCCAGGAGGAAAAGAGGCAAATTTCTGTCTTATGCCACTATGTTTGACAGGAAGTCCTATAATTATATTTAAATGGGTTTCATTGTAGAATGACAGCAAAGAACGTGGGATTTAAAACTAGACACACCAGGCTTCTGAGCTCAGCTCCACCACTTACTATCTGATAATGGACGAATCACACCCCTTCTTTGGCCATCAGTGTTCTTATCTCTTAACACGGAGATAACTCTCGTAACTATTTCATATTGTTATGAGGGGTAAGGGAGGTAATATATATATATAATAAGTTGGGGCCTAGCATAGTGCTTTGCAAATAGTGGGTGTTTAAAAGGGTAATATTATTACGTTTCATTGATTTCCTGGCATAGGCACCATTCATAATTGCTTTAACCCTCTGTTTGGATAGCATCGTGTGATGCCTCACTCGACGTTAGCGGTGGTGCTGCCATGGAGGTCGTTATCAGGAGACCCTTCAGCACTCTCCCATTTCACCCGTAATTCTATACGGGGCAGTTAGTGCCACAAGAGAGGCGCAGATCGACTGCCCAGAAGCCCTGGGGAGAGAACACTGTCCTCTGAATGGCAGGGGTGAGGGTTGGGTTAACACATGAGCAGGGTCTTTCAGGAAAGGCGGGATTTCTTCAAGGAGAGCAGGAAGGGCCAGAGCTAGACCTGGATTCTGGATATTCCCTGGTCTAAATTCTGGGATCGGGGTTGGGGAGAGTGGGCAGGCTTGAGGCTTTGTCACATGTCCTTTGCTTTCTTACCCTTAGTCAGGCCTGAGGAGTCAGGTGGCAGGGTTCCCATCAGGGCCGTTCTGGATGAGGTCAGAGGAGGCTGGAATGCCAGATTGGAAAGAGATCCTAAGGCACCTGTAGCTAAGTTCTTGCTTTTGTCCATGTGTTCTCAGGTCCTGGAGTCCCAGGCAGCCATGGCTCCTACCACGTCAGCCAGCAACAGTGCAGATACAGTCTCTGCTGGTTGCAGCACCTCCAGAAGTCAGGGCATCACTGAGCCCATGGATACAGAAACCCAGGAGGACAGGAGAATGTCTGCCGACAGGAAAACTGTAGGCAAGAAGAATACAGAGGCTGATGGGAAGATGCAGGTGGATGGAAGGACACAGGGAGACGGAACACAAACAACCCAGAGGACACAGGCAGAGAGGAAGACACAGGTGGACGTTGTGACACGAGAACGTGAGAGGCCAGAGTCAGACAGGAGTTCCTGGGTGGATATGGTGGCACAGGGAAGGGTGGAGACACAGGTGGAAAGGATGCAGGCAGATGAGAGGACAGAGGAAGGTGGCAGGATACAGGAAGACAAGGGGGCACAGTCAGAGGGGAGCGTACCCACAGGCATGAAAGGTCGGTCAGAGAAGCAGTCCAGAACCAGCCTCAGGCCCCAATTCAGAGCCCCTGAGCTCCCTTCAGAGGGTCCTAGGTCTCCTCAGATTATTGAATGTTTTGAGCAGACTCCAGAAGGAGACTTTGTCCCGGAAAAACCTGGTTTCCTGCTCAGATCTGAGGAAGCAGCAATAAGAGGCTCTGGGAATCACAAGGAGACTGTGGTGGGCCCCCTGGCAGGAGGCCTCACACTCCGGGCACAGCTGACTCCTGAGGGTGCTTTGGAGCAGATGGGAGGAGAGAGATGTCAAGGGCTGGAGTGGTCAGGTCCAGTCAAGGATGAGCTGGAGAACGGCCTGTTCCAGCGCCCCAAGGAGGAGCAGCTGGGGGAAGTGCTGTCTGTGGATCTGGGGGGCTGTCCTCCAGCTGGGCTGAGCCCAGAGGTGTCCACTCTGCCCTCTCCTCCTGACACTGGCCTGACCAAAAGCTCAGAGGAGGGGCTGCCCAGCATCCCAACTTCTCAGCACCTGAGGGCGGCTGCCTTCCTGCCCTCTGGGGACCAGGACTTGCTGAGTTCTGCTCCCCAACTGCACCTGGGGCAGGGGGCCCCCACCCAGAGTCACTCACCAGAAACCACGGCAGCCAGCAGTGAGGGGGCATGCGCCAAGGCTCCAGATGTGGAAGGGAGGACCTCAGGCCCCCGGAGCTGTGACCCTGGCCTCATAGATTCCCTGAAGAACTACTTGCTTCTGCTGCTAAAGCTGTCCAGCACACAGACGAGTGGAGGGGGCACAGAGCCCCTTGGGGGAGCTGCCACTGGGGGTCTGGCGCCCTCCTCCACTCTGGTCCCCACGGTGGAAGTGGCCGGTCTGAGTCCCCGGACGTCGAGGCGCATCCTGGAGCGCGTGGAGAACAACCATCTGGTGCAGAGTGCGCAGACCCTGCTGCTGAGCCCCTGCACCTCCCGCCGCCTCACCGGTCTCCTAGACCGCGAGGTGCAGGCTGGCCGTCAGGCCCTGGCTGCCGCCCGGGGCCCTGGCCCCAGTCTCCTCACCGTCCCCTCCATCGTGGTAGGCGAGGAGGAGGGCCCTGGGCTGGCCTCAGAAGGATCCAGTGAGGGTGAGGGAGAGGCTTCTCTTGAGGGGCCTGGCCTTCTGGGGACCTCCCAAGAGAGCAGCATGGGTGGTTTGCTGGGGGAGGCGGGGAGGCAGGCAGCCTCCGGGCAGGGCCCTCTTTCAGCAGAGAGCAGAGCCCAGGAAGCCTTCCAGGAGGAGGAGGTCCCCGGGGAGGCTCTGACAAGTCTCCCCGCAGCCACCCCTGAGGAACTGGCTCTGGGGGCCCGGAGGAAGAGATTTCTCCCTAAGATCAGAGCAGCAGGAGACGGGGAGGCAGCCAAGCCTGAAGAAAGGGAGAGCCCCACGGTTTCCCCCCGGGGGCCCAGGAAGGGCCTTGCACCTGGGTCCCCGGGGACTCCAGGGCGGGAGAAACGCTCCCCGACCCAGGGCAGAAAGGCAGGCCTGCTGGAGGTGCCGCGGGCAGAGGAGGAGCCGGCTGCAGCAGACCTGGGCTCCAGCCCCAAGGCCAGCGGTCCGGATGCAGAGCCGGTCCTGGACGAAGGCAAGCAAGATTCTCCGGCCAAGCAGAGGAAAGCCAAAGATCTGCTCAAAGGTGAGCGGTGGGGAGGGCTGCTCGGAAGAGGACTCTGCTGCAGCCGCTGGGGTAACGCAGGTCTGCAAGGCCTTCACAGAGTGCCTTCCAGAGGTGTTCTCAGGTCATGGTCGCACAGGCTTTGGAATCAGGCCTGGCTCTCGCCCTGGCTCTGCCACTTGGAGTTGGTAATAGTACCGACTTCGTAACATTGTGAGGGTTGAATGGGATAGAGTAAATCAAGTGCATAGCAAAGGGCCCGGTTTCGGTGGCATTGTCGCTCTGTCCTCAGCATCACCACTGGAATCCCCTCTTTGCAGACTCTTCCCACGTGTGCAGAGAGGTAGGCGGAGGATTCAAAGGCAGGCTCCCAGAGCGCGGCGGCGGGGGGTCCTACAATGAGCGAGTTCCTCTCAGCTGCTGTCTGTGTCCTTAGCTCGCTGAGGCTCTTTGGCCTGGGCATGGTACAGTAGTGGGTTCTTTCTAGCTAAGATGTGTGCTCTGGAGTCAGGACAAAAGCCGCAGAGATACAGGTGGCACGCAGCTGGGGGCCGTGAAGTAGTGGGTTTGTGTGAAGACTTGAATCCTGTTTTCTCTCCGCCTGTTCACCAAGGACACCCAGGGAAGCAAGGGTAGGGCCAGAGAGGGTGCAGGATGGAGGGGGAGTGGCTTGTCCCTCTTACCTGGGCCCCTGCTCCCAGCCCCACAGGTGATCCGGAAGATTCGGGTGGAGCAGTTTCCTGATGCCTCGGGCAGCCTGAAGCTCTGGTGCCAGTTTTTCAACATTCTTAGTGACTCAGTCTTGACATGGGCCAAGGATCAGTGCCCAGTGGGCGAGGTGGGCAGGAGGTAAGCCAGCTGGACCCCACCTCTGCCTGGCCTGACTCCCTAATGACAGCCATGATAACGTTGGCCATTGTCCGGCTGTGGATCCAGCGCCTCATTTAGTCCTCCCAGTAAGCCAAGAGGGAGAGTCTAGTATTCCCATAGTAGAGAGGAGAAAATTGAGGCTAAGAGGCATTAAGTCACTTGCCCAAAGTCACACAGCTAGTGAGTGTCTGGACGTAAACCAGACCTGTGTGGTCCAGGACCAGCTCTTAACCACGGCACCTCTCGCCACCTGCCCCCGAGCTCTCAGAGCCAGGGTTCACGGCAGCCTCTGAGAGCCGCGTCTGAGGAGCCTCAGGACCGCTGTCAGTCCCCGGGCTGTGCCATGGTGATGGCCCTCACAGGAGGGCTCTCCACTCTCTGCAGTGCAGGGGATGAGGGGCCGGCGGCCTTGGCCATCGTGCAGGCATCCCCCGTAGACTGTGGCATGTATCGATGCACCATCCACAACGAGCACGGCTCGGCCTCCACGGACTTCTGCCTCAGCCCCGAGGGTGAGTGTGTCCCCCCCAGTTCTCTGCCCCGCCTGGCTCCTGAGTGAGGGCAGTGCTCATCTTCGCAGAGATGGTGATCTCAGGGCAGGCCAGCCTGAGGGCAGCTGCTTTCTCTTCTTTTTCTCCACATAGTGCTGTCAGGATTCATCTCCAGAGAAGAAGGTGAAGGTACGGTGCTCCTGGGGGGGAGGGGCGGGTGGGCCTTTGTCCCTGCCTCTGCCCCCTGCAGGGAAGACCTTCTTGAAGGACTTGGAATCTGTTCCAGATGCTATGTTAACCCCCACATTCAGCTGCCCTTTGCCTCCTGGTTTAGGATACAGCTTGGGGAGGAGGCTGGAGGAGAACTGCTCTTTCAGAAGGTTGTGGGGGAAGAAGTGGCCAAGGGGCGCCATTCCACAGCGAGTTAATTCAGCCTTGTGCCCTTTGCTCGCGTCAGAGCCCCTGATCAAGGGCAGGACCCGCCACCAGGGCTCCTCTTATCCTGCCAGCTGCCTTCCAGAGTTTCTCCCATGGTCTGTGGACCCCTGTATTAGACTCATATGGGGAGCCTGCTAAAAATGTAGTTTCTTGGGCCCTACTACTGAAATCCTTAATCACCGTTACTGGGGAAGGACCTAGAAAAATGGCATTCTCAGTAGGCTCCCTGGAGATTGTGACATTCCCCAGTTTGATAAGCATTTTAAAGGCCCAAACATTTGAGGGTCTGTACTGCTCCTGAGAGAGACACACAGAGGCTTTGGGCTATGGAGGCAACTGGTGATGGACGGACTTCTAGAACTTTGTCTGCCAACCAATGCATTAATTCCTTCCTTCCTTCACTCATTCAATCACTTATTCATTCAGCTAGTGCCTATTGTTCAGTTATCAAATCGAATTTAATCAATATCAAATATAACCTCACACCTAGAAAGTTAGTAATGGTTCTTTAATATCATCAGATTCCCCCACTTGCCCAATAAAGTGTTGGTTTATTCGAATTAGGAGGTGCTGATTGCTTTTGGCTGATATATTTCATACATCTCTCTAATAGAGAATACTTCTTCCTTGATTTGTTTTTCCTCCTTGTCATTTATTGGTTGAAATCACTTGTGTAGAATTTCTTACAGTCTAGGTTTTGTTGATTACGTCAACATTTAACATGTTCTTCCATTTATGTACTTCTTCTAAACTGGTAGTCAGATCAAGAGGCTTAGTCAGATTCAGGTGCATTTTGCGGGGGGTGGCACAGGCAAGAATGCTTCACAGGCATGCTGTGTATTTCCTTTTGCATCCGATCTGGAGGTACATAATGTCTGATTGTTTTACTAATGTTAAGATTGATCACTGGGTTCACTCAGGTGTTTTCTGTCTGATCCATCCCTTTTCAAAGCTGAAAAACTGTATCTGAGACAACCCTTGTTGTTTTCTAGGGGTTTTGGCAGTCCCTGATTATTGCCCAAATCCATTCTTTCATTAGGATTTGCAATATGGAGTATTTTAGTTCTATCGTGTCTTCTTCATTCATTAGTTTTTCTGTAAAGAAGAAATGGTTGTTTGGTTACCCTGAGTTGGTGCCCTAGCACCCTCCAAAGGTTACTGGTGAGGTTAGTGGGGGTTTTTTGGGGGGAGGGTGTTTGTCAATTGCAATTATGAACATAAGGGTTTTTGACATATTTGATACATTCATTACATTGCAGAAATTATTCTTTTGTTGATAAGATTGTCTGATTTTGGCCAATGGAAGCTCCTTCAGAAGGTGGGCTCCTGTGTCCTTTTGACAAGCCTCTGGTCATTTTTGATAGCTTCTTCGCTTTCTGGTCTGACAAGATGTTTCCGGTACGCCTGGTACACTTCCTGGCCTAGACCTGGAATCAAACATTTCTCCAGGGAGCTCTGCTTCCTTTTAGTGGGAAATGGTATTTAGTGATCACAATTTGAGCATGAGTGATGCTCAGTGTTGCTGGATTAGTCCTGCAAACTTTTTGTTTCCGTCAAACATGTTGGTTGAGACGGAGTCATTTATTCATTTGATCAAAACAACTAATTCTAAAGCAGAGTGATTCTGGTATTTTGTATTGATTGCTACTTGCACAGAAATACCCTGCCTTCCACAGACACTGACTCAGTCCTTATGATGTGATAGGCACACTGGAGCACTGTTAAACGACAGGGGTTGTATCAGACACAGTTTCTACCCTGAGGAGCTCACGATCTGGTAGGGGTATACACCCAAAGAGCATAATGGACAGAGTGGGTGCACCAGGGTGGTAGGGTGGGAGACGGTTCTGGCCTTTTCCTACCCTACCAACCCCACATCAGTCAGGCCTCTAGTTTTCCGCATTTTTCCTGTTCCCCTTCAGTTGGAGAAGAGATTGAGATGACCCCCATGGTGTTTGCTAAGGGTCTGGCTGACTCTGGCTGCTGGGGGGACAAGCTGTTTGGGCGCCTGGTGAGCGAGGAGCTACAAGGGGGTGGCTATGGTTTTGGCCTTCGGAAGGCCTCCCAGGCCAAGGTCATCTACGGGCTGGAACCCATCTTCGAGTCAGGCCGCACGTGTGTCATCAAGGTGTCCAGTCTGCTTATGTTTGGACCCAGCAGTGAGACTTCTCTCTTGGGCAGAAACTATGACGTCACCATTCAGGTACACGTCCCATCCCCCTGCCCCATCCTTCTGCGCTCTCACCTTCTCCCCTTTCCCACATTGGGTCCTGGTGGGAAGCCCGTTGTGGAGGCAGGAGCCATCTCAGTCTCAACCTTAGGAGGCTCCTGGGATGGACCTTGAGGAGAACCTGAGACGTGGCCCTGGCTATGTCTTCGGAGCCATGGTTTTTAAACTATATTTTTGCAGCAGAAACCTTTTCCTCCTCCCTCGAACATATCTTGCACAGAAGCTGTAAATGTGAGATAAAAGGGGAGTGACTGGGTGAGGTGGATGGTCTGTGCTCTGCCCATTCAGTGTCTTTCTTGCTCTGCACAGCATGGCCCCTGGGGCACTGCCACCTGTCGCTAGGGCTCACGGAACCACAGTTTGGAAACCACTTTGCAAACAAGTTCAGAGCCTCTTGTTTTACAAACCAGAAAAATGAAGTGCAGAGTAGGGAGCAAGGGAGGAGCGAACCCCACGTGCCCCGGGACTGGAGTGCCCCCTGTAGTCCTCTAGCGGATGGCCCTCCCACTTAGAGCCAGGCGTGAAAGAGAACACGGGGGCTTCCTTGCTGATCAGATTTTGTTCTCTTTAATCCACAGGGGTGCAAGATCCAGAACATGAGTCGGGAGTACTGCAAAATCTTTGCGGCTGAAGCCCGGGCTGCACCAGGCTTTGGGGAAGTGCCTGAGTAAGTGCACAGGGAGGGGGACGTGTCCTGTGCAGACCTGTTGACTTGAGCTTCTGCAAAGAACAGTGATTTCATAGCCTCCCAGGGGCATCCTGATTATGACCATGTGCAAATGGGCCCACAGCTAACCCAGTGCTCAGCTCAATGGCCCCGTAAAAATCTAGAAATAAAGACCACTGCCCATTTGGGAAAAGCCTCTGCTCTGGTCTTCAGTCTCCACCCACTCACTTTAATTCCCATCCCTTAGCCCAGTTTTTGGTGATGGCAGGGTTTAGGCACAGTGAATTCTGGGCCTCTCTGAAGGCGATGGAGTAGGCTAAGCTTCTAGGCAGACTGGTCTGTACTCGCCTGTGGTGGGCAGACAGAGTCAGTGCGGGTTTTTGTAGGAGTCAGTTATAAATGGTAATTGCTTCCGTTTTGAGACCTGAACTCTGACTCTTGAATATTGGGGTCTGGCTGGCCTTCAGCCACAGTCTGGTTGAATCCTCTCTAGAGGTGTTTCTTTTTGTTTGACACACACTGGTCTCGGTCCCTCACCCAAGCACAGGTTCCCCCTGGGGTCTAAGCACTGTGCAGTTCTAATCGCACTGACCTCAGAGGATGGACGGGACGTCCCCCTGACGCCAATGGCCTCCGTTTCCTTTCTTGGACTCAGGGTGGAGCTCCCCTCTTCTGCTGCCTTTCAGTCTCGGGGCTGAGAATTCCGTCCTTAGAAGGGCCCTCCTTTTAGACCCAAGAGTATAGAATTGAGACGGAGGGAGGCGCTTTCTGGGGCCATACTCCCTGCTCACTGCAGGCTGAAACTATGTTTAGGATCATCCCACTGTATCTGATCTACCGGCCTGCAAACAACATCCCGTATGCCACCCTGGAGGAGGACCTGGGCAAGCCTCTGGAGTCTTACTGTTCCCGGGACTGGGGCTGTGCTGCGGGTCCAGCAGCACCTAGCAGCTCTGAGGCCATGCAGAAATGCCAGACCTTCCAGCACTGGCTGTATCTGTGGACAAATGGCAGCTTCCTTGTCACAGATTTGGCAGGTATGAGAGTCTGAGGGGGCGAGTGTGCATGGATGTGGGAGCACACGGAGGGGGCAGCGTCGTGGTGCTCGGTGACTAGTCTACAACACACTTTGTATTTCTTCTCCTTTGCTTTTCGCAGTAACCTTGTAAAGCAGGTTGTATGCAACCCTAACACATTCCAGGCCTCATGTAGCCTAGTCTGTAACTGCAGCTGCAGTTAAAGGGATGCACTCCAGGCTCCACTTGAAATTAAAAAGGAATTTATTTCAAAGAACATTACATGGGCTCTAATTCAAAACCCACAACCACCTTTTCAAAATCTCCCTTCCTCCCTTCCCTGCCACTTTGCTCTGGACTTTCTCACTCTCCACACTTTCCCAACTCTCATTTCCCTCCTAGCACACATGGCTTTATTGTCCTTTTCTCCCTCCCTCCCTGCCTGCGCCTCCATCTTTGTTAGCTTTTTATCATGTAAACCAACTTGCTCTCTGGCTTCTTTTTAGCTTTGTTGCTATTTCTCCCATCACTCAGATTCTCGCCAAGAAAGGAAGGCCAGCAAGCATGAATCCTTCCTTCTTTGACCAGTCCTCTCCAGGCCCACTCTCTTGAACCAGAACTGGGCAGGGGCAAGGAAGAGAGAAAATTTTCTCTATAGTGGGAGTAGAGGAATGCTGGGAATATCACACATCATTACGTCTTGTCCCTGTTGTAAATAAATGAGGAAATCAAGGGCCAGAGATAGAAAACTGGCTCAAATGTGCTTTTCATGGGGGCTAAACTGCCTAGTAAATGTTGTATATATAACTCCATCATTAAGCCATTTATCGGTCACTCTATTTGTTAACTTGTAAATTTACCCTTACTAAATATTGGAAAGATAAAAAGGTGAATTAGGAATAGTCATTGTCCTCAAGAAGCTGTGATAGGTGTCCCAATTTCTACAGTGAGATGATGATAACTTGATATAGTAGAAGGACTTGGCAGTCAAAGCAATTCGATTTAAGTCTAGGTCTCATTGTTTTCTGGCTGGGTCTTGTTTTACAGAGAAGAAAACTGAAGCTCAGACAGGTTAGGTCATTTCTTCTCTCTGAGCTTCAGTTTCCTTTCCCTCCCTAGTAATAATAATATCTCCTACCCATCTCTCAGACTTGTTATGAGGACGACATGAGACTGTATTTGTGAAAGCCTTCTGCAAACTAAAATTCTGTGCAAGTATAAAGGATCACCATTATTATAATGCAAAATGGAATGTGATACATGCTGAAAGAGAAAGGACAAAGAAATTAATATTTGTTGCATAACTACTGTGTTTCAGACACTAAATGAGAGTCCTACATATACTGTGATCTTCCTAACACCCCTGCAAGGTGGGCAATATTATCCCTTTTCACAGTTGAAGATTAGAGATGGTGACTTGCCAAGATCACACAGTGGTCTCAGCCCTGTTAGTGAAGGGCACGTTCCTAGAACAATGTGACTGGACAGTCTGAAGATGGGGAAAGAGGGCCACAAGTCTAACGCTGCATGCAAGATGCTGGAATGGACTGGCCAGAGTGGAGAGACTTTTCCTCCATCACCGTTTTGCCTGGCTCTATCTTTCCAAAGCTGTCTTAACCTAGAAGACCACCTTGGCTTCCTGGAGTGCTTGCTTGCTGCCTTCATGAGTGCACAGAAGCCAGTGTCATCCAGTGTTACATTTCTGCTGGTCCAGCCCTGATTTACCTTACCATTCCCACCTTCTCTCTCTTGCCCAGCTAGGCTAATCTGTTAAAAGGAAGGAGGAAGTTTTAGCTCAAAGCCAGAGGCCAGCCCAGTTTGTGAGCTAATCTCCTCCAGTAGAAGCAGGATTGCACAGCTGGAAGAGTTTTGGATCTGGGAGTAAGCAAAACTGAGCTTTTACTGACTTACAGTGGCCATTGCACACAGTCAGTGCTCAGGTATAAAATGAATGAATAAATGTGACTTTGCTCCAGTCACTTAACTCTGAGCCTATCTCCTTACTTGTAAAAATGGGAATGTTATTACTGCTAATGATACAGAGATACCTGCCTGAGAGTCAGGCCAGTCGTGATGACCCAGTGAGAGGTACCTGTTGATGTGCCCTGAAACCTGGTAGGTTTCCATCTAAAGTGATACCCACCTGGGAGACATGGGGGCCCTAGCGCCAGCCCAGGCTGCCATCGACTCCCCACTTTCTTTCTTTTCAGGGGTTGACTGGAAGATGACTGATGTGCAGATAGCTACCAAACTGCGAGGGTGAGTGGTTCTCGGGGACAGAATGCCCTCGGAGAGTCTTCTCGGGGCATAAAATGTCAAAGTTCTGCTGGTCTCCATCCATGAGGTGCTGGACCTGTGGCCAAATGGTCCCAGTTGCACCCATGGCCATGTAGTAACAACCCAGGGGCCACTGACCCTCTGACCCCAGGTCTGGACCAGCAGCTATTGACGCCCACACACAGGATCACCTGCGATCCTGGGCACTCCATGCACCTGCTCCTCTTCCTTCTCACTTGAGAAAGCTCATCACGATGCAGATGAGCACGGGCCCTGTGACTACAGGGCTGACCTGGAGTCTGCTGTACTTTATATTAAAAAGTCAGATCATCCTCACACCAGTTAATGTCCCACTTGATGAATTCCATGAGCCAGGGTGTGATGAACCTGAAGTTAGAGTTGAAGTCTTTGGTGCCTCCACCTGAGGTAGTACCCAAGTAGACTCCCCAGCACCCCCAGGTAGGGTAGGATGGACCTTGGGCACAACACCCTGGCCATGGCCATCCCAAAGTCAGCCCCCAAGGACTCTCCCCTTGGGTGGGACTTTCACGTGGCTCTTACTGTTTGACTGCAGATACCAAGGCCTCAAGGAGAGCTGCTTCCCTGCCCTGCTGGACCAGTTTGCCTCCTCCCACCAGTGTAACACCTTCTGTGAGATGCTGGGGCTAAAACCCCTCAAGGGCCCTGAGGCTGCCCATCCCCAAGCCAAGGCCAAAGGTTCCAAGAGTCCATCTGCCGGCAGGAAAGGCCCCCAGCTGAGTCCTCAGACCCAGAAGAAAGGCCCCCCCAGTCCCCAGGGCACCCGGAAGAGTGCCCCAAGCTCCAAGGCCACCGCTCAGGCCTCAGAGGCAGTCGCCACCCAATTATTGGGACCACCTCTCATCCAAGAGAGGGGCTCCAAGGCCCAGGGCATGCGGTAGCCCCCACCGGAGGCTGGGGGCCTCCACCCAGCAGCAGACCAACAAGGAAGCAGTTCGAACCGATGGAGACTTTCCCAATACAGAACTAACCGGAGAAGGCGCACTGAAGAGGTACTACTTGGGGGCCTCGCTGAGCAGCCTCTCCTCAGTCAGCTCCTCATCAGATGGCTTTGGTGCGTGGCAGACAGCCCAGTGGCCTCTCCTGGTGCCATCATCACCCAGGGCTCCCAGGCCCCACCTCCAAGTGCCTGGAGGCCTAGGCCCTCCTTGAAGTTTACACTCGCCACTGCTGGAGGCTCCCCTGAGTCCTCTGCATGAGTTCTGCACCCCAACCCCTTGCCCCAGCCTGACCCTGCCGTGAACGTTGTCCTCGGGGGGCCTGCAGGCCAGCAGTTACCCTCTTCCCTCTGCTTGGCCCTGATGTCTCCCTGTCCTCAGGGCTCCAGACCTCCTCTGCTGTGTCTGGCCTGCTGACTCTCAGGGTGTCTTCTCTTCCAGCTACTTTGCCTCATTCATCCCAGCTTACCCTGCCACTAATCTGCCCCTCAGCCCACATGGGGCCCGGGGCCCTTCCAGAGCCTGTCCTGTCCTTGTGCAGTGGTCTTTGGTGACGTGTGTTCATGCTCTTCCTCCCCTCATCACTCAGGCACTCACTCACCTGCTTCCCATGCTCCCTTGCACCCCGTCCCCTACCTCCACCCCCCATCCCTGGCTTTAGCCCAACCCCAGCGTGCTGCCTGACCTTCACAGACTCTCTGCTTGTCCCCTCGCCCAAGGGCTTCCCTACTGACTCTGCACCCTACCCACCATACCCAGGTGAGGAGCAGACCCTCTGTCCTCTCTGTCCGCCCTAGTACATTCTTCCACTACTTCTCCCAGGCCCTCTGCCCATGAGATGAGAGCTGGCATGAGGGTTGTGTCAGCAGATATGGTCAGAGGGAAGATGTTGACTTTGAGGGACCTTGTGCTCCATACTGGAAGGAGGTAGGGTCACAGTGAATTTCACATCCCCCCTTGACCAGGGATGGAGGGCTGTGGCTCTTCTCCATGGGAGAGTATGCATGGGAGTTCTAGGAAGGATGCCATCTATCCACACACTGGGGCAGAGGGGTATCTGTGCCTGGGAATTAGGACCCTGCCTTCAACCATTAGCTCTTGATCCTGAGGCTCCAGCTCTGGGGCCTCATATATGGGCTCCCAAGGAATTGCTGTGCTTGGCCTAGCACCCTGGGTCCTTCCTGAGAGCCCCTCCTTGAGGCCTGGGATGTGTGGGTCTGGAGCTGGCCTGCTCCCCCTTGGAATGCAATAAAGGCAGCAACTGTGTATCCTGCTCGCCCTCATCTGGTGTGGTTGTAGGTATATGGGGTCAGGGTCCCCTCTCTCCAGGCAGGTTCTCTGAGGGTGTCCTACAGTCCCTGGGCCCACTGGAAAAATGAATCCGTGTTTTGGTTCCTGGATCGGCATTCAGTCTCAGCTTTCTGTGGCCACAGCCAGACAGTCTGTGCTTCTTGTACAGCTGGGCTGATGGCTGTTACCCCTTAGCAGTGTATCTGGGGGACTTGGGCCTTTGGAATTTCTCCTTCATTTGGAAGAGGAATGCAAAGGAAGGAACCCTGGAAGGAAGAGCAGAGCTGGGGGCTGGCTCTGGTCCCTCCACTGTAGCAAGACCAGCCCAGGGGACAACCAGCGTCTGCCTCTCAGCTACTCCCTGACCGTTTTCTGCTTCCCAAGCTACAGAGAGACTTCTCATTCCCACCCCACCCCACCACCAGGCCTTTCTTTGCCTGACATTCGCCCCTCTCCATTTTGACATTTCTGATTTCTCTACCTCCTCTTGTGCTCAGGTGACTCTCCACTTTTTCCTCTTGCCCCAGTGTGCCCCCAGCTCTCCCAGCCTGCATATCCAGATTGCTTTGGTGAGCGGAGAGCTGGAATATTGTTCATTCATTTGGTCATTCATCCATTCATTCAGCAGACATATAATGAACATCTACTTTATGCCAGACCCTAAGCTGACAGCTATTGGGAGGTAAAGATGTTTGAGGTGGTCTCAAAAGAGACTCTTTCCATTGGGTTTCTTAGGTTTTGAGCAACAGAAATGGACTTGGACCAACTTAAGCAAGGAGAAAAGGTTCATAGGAAGGATGTTGGAGTAGCTCACAGAACCAAAGGAATAGCTGAACAATTGGTGTTGAGATGGGTGGGAGCCAGGGCAGCTCCAGAACTTGCCTCCCAGAAGCTGCTGCTGTTGGCAGATCAACATCAACCAGCTATTTATTCCAGTGGGTCTCCCTCCGCTCCAGATTCAAATTCCTGTCCTGGAGCTCAGGGCATCACGGAGTAGGAGAGATGCATTTTTCCAAAGAATGGGAAGAATAGTGGAGGGTGGGAGGATAGAAAGGGCTTGGTAGGCAACAACAAAAGATACCCTGACACACACACACACACACACTCTGTTCTTCCCATCTGATGTATTATGACTCTCCCACATACAACCAAAAGCAAATTCCTCTCTGCTTGGGGAGATCTTTCAAGGTCACATGCCATGACTAAGCCCAGGGGTAACCAGGGCTACCCTTCTCTGAAGTCCAGTGTCACTAGTGATACTCTTCCCTCTTTTATCACAATCCTGTTTTGAAATTCTGCAACCTGTGCATTAACTGGTAAAATTAACTATATTCAGCCAAAGTTATATAACCCAGCAAGAAAGGAAATGTGGGTAAAGGCTATAGTCCATTTTTATAACTGGTCATGAAAACTAGTGTTTATGACTAGGGATTTTTTGCCTGTTGGCGTGTTCCAAACCTTCACTTCCAAAGTCCAGCTCCTTAGTGGTCCTTCCTGTGTGGCAGGCGTTTACCACTGGACATGACAGTACCAGGAAGCACTCTAGGAGTCCCCCATGTCCATCTGTAGTCCTGACCCCCTTTTACGTAGCAGCAATCATGTTTTCCCTTGATACGGTTAGTCGTCCTAGCTACTCCCATAACCACTTGTTATGTGTCACTCAGAGGTATAAGGAGCCTGAAATGGCTGGGTGCCTCAGCTTCCAAGTCACTTGAATCATTACTGTGACTTTTTGAGGATGTGTTTCCTTGGGGACTAAAACCTCTATACTAGCCTGGTCCCAAACATCAGGCATGAAAAAGCATTGAGACGTAGTGATAACACGCCCCTCTCCACCCTACTTCCTAGCCTGCAGGAGAAATTGCACCATGAATTGGTTGCCAGTTCAGAGCTTATGCGGTATCCTGTGGGGCCCAATCCAACTTTGCAAGGTATTGTTTCTGGTGCTGTAGATGAGTTTTCAACAAACCATTCACCATACTATCAAGCTAACAGCTTCTAGACTGTGGGGATCCTGACAAGATGAGTTAATGCCATAGGCATCAACCCATTACTTTACTTTTGCTGTAAAGTGTGTTCTTTGGTTGAATGCAGTATGTGCGGATACCACAATGATGTTTACAGCACTTGGTAATTCCATGGATATTGATGGTGGGAGAGGCATGAGGGGTAAGGAAAGCAAATCCAAATTCAGAAGAGGGGCCCATAATTGTCAAGATGAATTCCTGCCCTCTTAAAGTCATAGGTATAGATTGAGGAGAGCTCAGCAGTAGGGCAGGAGGAGGCATCATAGACGAGGGAGTAAGCAACCCACATGCACGGCTTGCCTGTGCCTTCAGAGTCCTATCCTGGAGCCTGCACCTAATGATGGAGTGCTTCTGGCTGTGCCTGACTATGGCTGGGTGGATCAGATAATCCCAGTTCACAAGGGGCTGTATGGCTACCTGGCATGCTGTAGCCAAGCATTTAGGCTCCCCTAGAGCTCAGTGGTAAGCCAGAAGGCAATGTCTCAAGAGGATAATTGTTATTTGTTGGCCAGAGCATTACTTGGTTCCAAACCCTGGGTTCCCCAGCCATATTTTTTTTAATCAAGACTTACCACAAGCTCCATAAAGCATTCTGCTCTGCCACAGTCTCCATATGGGTCCCCAGTAAGGCACAGACAGATACTTTAAGTGCCTTTGGATCTGCCAGGTCATATGGCCTGGTGGCAGAATCATTTGTACTAAAGACTTTCCCGGCTGGAGAGCCTTCACTTGATCAAGGCCCAACCCAAAGCTGGTGGCCTTCTAGGTCAGTTAGTAAATGGGTTGGAGCAAGATGCCCCAAAGGGACATTTTTGCCCGGAATTGGGCCTTGGTGGGATCAAACTGCAGAAAAGTTTTCTACATTATGGAGGAAATATTTTTACCTCAATAGACCCCTTGACCCCCTAGGAACTTCATCAAGGGAGCAGACCTTTGCATTTATCTCCCACCTCTGACTTACATATATCTTACCAAGGCATCTCGGGAAACTGCTGATCAGCAGGATGCCATCGGTGTGATGGAACATTGTGGTGGTGGAGTCGAGGTCCCTGTGAGCCAGGTTGTGGCACAGAGCTAAACAGCAAAGATAGATCTTTAAGCCAGGACAGCAATGGAGTCCTGTTGCCCTGCCAGGGGAAGACGAATTGCTTCTGGTGTTCTTTGTTCATCAAAATGGAGGAAAACATGAATTCACTAGATCAAAAGATTCACACCAAATGCCAGGAGCTGGAGAAATGTGCTTTAGCAAGAAGTCCTTCTCTGGAACAGCACCTGTAATTGGAGTCATCCCTTTTTAAAGTCGTCAACAATCCGAGGACCTCCTGGCGTTTCTCACTGGCTGAGCTGAGCTGTGGTAGGAATCACTATGACTTCACTCTCAAGTCTTGAGTAGTAACACTCATTTCCATACTTCCCCGGGGAATGCGGCATTACTTTTGATTGGTCATTTTGGTAGGGAGAGGAAATTCTAATAGCTTTTGCTTGTCCTATCCTGCTATGGTCACTCTTACCCCCAAATCAGAGAGGGGGTTATACCTGATTCCGAATATATCCATTTCAGCTATACAGTCAAAGTAACCCTTAGATGGCTTTGAGATTCTCCTGGGTCTACTGTGGTGTAAAATTTGGTCTGTCATCCCCATTAATTTGCAGACCACTTGCTTTTCTATGTACTGTCCCCAGAAATTGGACTTAGATTGGAGCCAGTATCCTACAGAACCCCTCTCCCCAAATATGGTTATTTTCCCTGCCCTTCTATAGTTCCCAGATAAATGGACACACATCCCTTTGGGAAAAGCTGCAAGAGAAGTTCAAAATATGCATCTAAGTGTTAAAATAAGGTTTCCCTTCAAAGATATTTGACTTCCCTCCATTGAAGGTCTGGAAATTAAGTGGCAGATTTTTGACTCTACCTTGGCAGCTTGAGACAGACCTGTTTGCCCAACCAGAAGTCTTTAGTTATGGTAATAACCAGGTAATATCTTAGGGACTGTCTGGTCTTCTTCATCCCTGGGACCCAAAGATTGATTAACCACAGCTAGAGGTCCGGTTTCCATGCCCACATCCATTATGATGATGACTCTACCTTGTCCTTCTATCTATCTCTGCTGCTGATATCAGGGGGCTCATTTTCATAGCAGCTCTTCCAACCAGCATTCCAGGCCAAGAGAAGAAAGCCATCAGAGTCTCATCAATTTATTTCTCATGGCAAGGAGCGAGACCATCTTCTGGGTCCCGTCAGAGGACAAGTGAGAGGGTGAATGGGCTGGATGCATGCCAGGGACCCAATAAAGCATTCTTATCTCCTGAAATCTGTGAGTTCCTGCCTTCCTTGGATTTTTGGTCTTTTGATATAATTTAGTATGGGTGAACATTTGATACAGATTTGTATTATCCAAACCCCCAAAAAATGGTAAGAACTGTATCTGGCTGTTTGAGCTTCTACATCGAATGTGGAATCTCTGGTAAGTGAACCTGTCAATAAATATAACCTGAACCAAAATTATGTTTTGCTATCTTGGTCAAACAGCCTTAAAAATGTTTCCTTAAATTTTCCCTATATTTTTTGACAGTGTATATTAGCTAGTTCATACAGTTTCTTCTGAGTGTAACGCTTCTTTTTCCTGACCTCGTTCTTCCTCTCATCCCTCGGGCTGTGTTGAGTGTGAATTCTGGTTACTGGCAGATGAACAGTGTAGTGTGGGGCAGGGTCTGGGTCTCAATTTTGTAACTTGATGTTGTCAGTACCCATGAGCTGATCAAACTCAGGGAGCTGTCTCACTCATTAAACTTACAAGAAAATGGAATTTGCACACCAAAAACACACCTTGCTAATTTTTAAGGAGAAATTGAACCATTCGGGAGATTGGACACTTGTGTTTATCTGACAAGTAAATTCTTCCCTTCTTCTGAAAGGAAAAATTCAAGGGAAGCCCAATTATCAGAAGGTTGTTTGGCAAGCTTAGGACAAGTCAGACAAAGCTCAGTTCAACTCTAGCTTTACTGGCCATGTGAAGTTGAGCTTGTTACTTGACCTCTCTGAACTCAGATGCCTCATCTTTTTAAAAATCCTTTTACTAATACTTATGGACTGCCTATCACATGTGGTAATTCTGTGTCCTGGGCACTAATAGTGAACAAAACACACATAGACTCCTCCCTCTGGAGCTTAAGATCTAGCAGGGGAGACACACATTAAACAAGCACAACAAGAAATGTAAAAAGGCAAGTATTTAAGTATTAAGTGCTGCAAAGCAGAAGACTAGGAGAGAACACCAGCTGGGTGTGGGACCTAAATTAGATTGGGGGTCTTTGGAGCCAACCTGAGGGCATGATATTTGAGCTGAGATCTGAAGGATATCCATCAAAGGAAGGGGAAGAGGAAGAGTGCACCAGACAGAGGAAATGACTTGTGCAAGGTTCTGAGTCAGGTTATGGTAGAGGGACAGAATGAAAGTTGGTGTGGCTGGTGCATGGTAAACAGGAGGACCACAGAATTGCAATATGTGGTTCAGAGAGAGGTGGGGCCAGGCTGAGGGAGGAGACTTGCATTGAACCCTAAGAGCAGTAGTGCATCAGTTAGGATCAGCTACAACTGGAAATGGTAGAGAAGCCCGCAAGTGACAACGGTCTTAAGCAAGACAAAGTTATTTCTTCCTTAGGAAGAGGTCTGCAGGCAATAGGAGATCTGGACATGGTCCACCTAGGGCTGGCATGGCAGCCTCATTGAAATTGAGTTTCCCCCAGCTCTCTGCTCTACCCTCCCGACCCAAGTTGGAGTAATAATTGATCGCAAGTACAGTGTCATAAGTAGAACTAAAATAATGATGCAATTGTCAAACACTGGAGAACTGAATCTTTGTGGTATATGGTAGAGTCAATAGATAATGTCTAAAACAAAATAAAAAATAGTATCTATATTTATATTTTTATCAATCATCTATCCACCCGCCCACCCACCCACCCATCCATCCATCCATCCATCTATCATTCATCTATTTTGTTTACAGAGGTTACTACCAGGAGTGAAAAAACAAGAACAATTTGTTTGCAGTTGTGTTGGGCGAGAGTTGGGGGTGAGGTGGGGCCACTCTCTGGTTTTCCAGGCTCTGGTCTTCCTGAGACTGCCCAGTGGTAAGCTTCCTTTAAATTTCCTTTGTCAGTCACTTATTTGGATCTTACTTGAAACAGAAGGGCCTACAGAGGGACCCCAACTCCCTCTGCTTCAGGAACCGTCTTTCAGAAATTGGATCGTATCCTATTCAACCAGGCAAATTTGAGCTCCACTGTTAAATTGCAATGGCAAATATGAGATTGAGGGAACTGAGTGAGACAGGAGTATCTGTCATCAGGATGCTGTGGTCGTATGGCTGGAACTAGCTCTTTTTAGGAGGTATTCCCCACTGACACTCAGAGGTCCTAGAACTCAGGAGGCACTGTCCTCTGACCTCAGAACTGATATGGTTCAGAGATGGCTCTTTCCTATTATTTCAAAGGGCATCGAGGAGTAGCAGCTACTAAACACTCAGCCTTAGGGGACACACCACACATGAGGATGAAGGATCCTCATCCCGGCACTTACGGCATGTACCTGGGTGGTAGAGTTATAACAGGACATGATTATATGGATTCCTGGGCTGAGGTCATGGTCCAGTCAACTGCTCTGGCCACTGGCTTTTTAATGATTTGAATAGGTGCATCTAGGCCCAGGATGGGATGAGTCCCTATGGATTCAACCAGCTGACAACTCTGACCAAATTAAAAACCCTGGTTTCACACTAAACCCCTTTAGTGCCACCAAACTCCTGTGAGAATTCTCATTGGAACAAGGCTGTGGACAAAGGCAGGGTCTCTCTGAGACCTCTCTGAGGCAGGCAGAACGCCTGTGGGGAATAAACTCTGCCTTGGCATGAGCCCGTGCCCGGGGTAGGCCACAGCAGCCTGCACCCTGATTCCAGCAGCCTGGGAGTATGGGGTGCCAACAGAACCACGGGTTCTCACCCATGGTTGTTACTGCTGGTGCCCTGCCCAGACACCCTTTCCTGTGAGGACCCATCTCCCAGGGGTTGTGAGTTAGTTAGCTCACATCTGCCCCTTGTCTGAAGAATTGTCTGATCAAATGGAGGCCACCTCACCTGGGAAGCAACACCCCCTCCCAAACCCTTCCCCAGTCCTCAGCCCATGACCTATTGGCCTGGCCTGGCCTCAAGGTGGGGCTAACCTGTGGGAGAGTTTGTGTTCCAGAATTTCCCTGTGGGATCAAACAAAAGCCAGACTCTAGCCAAGACCGTGCTCTTGCTTCTTACCCCTGCCCTATTCTGCATCCTTTACTCCCCTTCTTCCAAGAGCACCCCCACCCACCCAGTGAATCTCTCGAACAAGAATTTCCATCTTGGGCTAAGGAATCCACGTAAGATGCGTCAGGCGTCCTGCTGTGTAGACTTGGTCATTGGTAGAGAAATTCCATCAGAGCTCTTCTTTTCCACCGAGGCAAAATGTATGTTCTCAGAGCATTTGGAGTCGGATTATTGCCCAGTAAATCAGCCCCTGCAGAATTTGTACTGAGTCCTACTGAGGAAGGCACTGAGGGACTTAGTGTCCCCAGTTTCATGGCATCTGACCAGAGAGTACAATGCACAGCCATCAGGTCTAGGTGTGGGCCCAGAATCCATCATGCCTGCCAGCAGCAGGTGAGGTGGAAACATGGGGGGACACCACAAGTGCCAGCTGAGATCTCCCGAGTGTGAACAGTCTCGACCTCATGGGTTCTTGTGAGGGTTAGTCTACACAGAGCAGGTAGAGCTCTGAGCACCGCCTGGCACATGCCAAGCTCTCAGTCGTGAGGCTCTTGGCTGGTGCCATTGCTGTCACCATCTCCTGCAACCACAGGATCCAACTCAGGGCCCGCTCACACATCGCTCTTCTCCAGGCTAGGAGACCCTGACGTTTCTCCCTTCCCTCAAGATGGGGTGGCTAACAAAGATCTCTGCCCCTACCCATGAAAACCGTCTTCCAGCTCTTGTCCTGTGGGAAAGAGCACTGCTCCTGACCCACGAGCTGGCCCTTGTTTAGCTCCTGTGACATGTCCTGTGACAAACCCCCATGGTCACTGAAGGGAATTGGACACAACCTTTGGAATAACGAAACTTGCTTCGACAGGCATAGTGAAGTGGAAAGCAGTGTTTTCCAATGAGTCATGGTGTCTAACTGGCGGGTCCACACAGGAAGAACCGTTGGGACTAGTCAGAGATGAGGCCGTGCCTTTCTTTCTACAGCACGATATTATCAGGGCAATTCTGCCTGGGCAGAGGGAGGCAAGACATGCCTGGAAAGTCTCAATGTCTAGATGTGACACGCAGAGGCGTCCATTTTTGTTCTTCCTAACGATCGTGTTTAACATGTGACGGCCCTCTTGTCAGCACCTTCCCTGTGGACACTGCTGGTCTGTGGTAGGTTCATTTTGCTGGCTCCTCCCAGGAGGCCTAAAGTCCACTTCATGGAAACTTCTGTGAAAACGTCTGGCTTTGCTCTAAGGCTTAGTGGGTGCCCATCAGACCACTTCTCTGACAGGGGAGAAGATGAAACAATCAAGGAACTATTTTTGCCTATATGATTAACCAGCTTATCACCTGTGACTCAGTGTCAGGCTCTGGGCCAACAAGGCAATGGAGATCCAAATGAATAGTCCCCCTGGCGCCTGCCAATGGCTGGAGGGAAATGGTGCACCTCAGAAGGAGGATATAGCCTTTGGTATAAACCCCACAAAAGCCAGGGATATTATCCTTCAACCTAACAAGAGGACATGAATTCAGACCTGCCTTGGTTTGCAGAATATCTTAATCTGGATCAAAGGGAAAAGGCGACATCTCCATCTGTCATTATATAAAAAGCCAATATGAGATGGAGAGGCAAGAGGGGTGGAGGGTAAAACAACAATAACCAGGGACATACCTCACAAAGTAGCAACCAGTTAAATATTCAGAAACAGTGATCTCTTAGCTGCCTGGTGGCCTTGAGCCCTCACGGATGTGGGACCAGGCGTCCTCATCTTACCATTCTTTATTGTCACTGAGATAAATGAGCCCCAGACCCAGTCTTTCATCTTGCTTTGGATGATGGCTGTTTGTGCCCATCTGTTCCCAATGACTAGAAAAGATCAAGGTGTGGACTGTACCAGGGGATGCCAAGCAGGCTGGGGTGGGGGTTTCAGCCGTAGGGGGATTGGAGCACTTCTTTCCCCCGTGAACACCTGGACTTGCTATACAGTTGCTAGAGGAGCGTTGTGCTTGAAGTCTTGGGAGAGCTCATTCCCACAGAAAATTACAAGTAAGCAATGTAAAAGTCCAAGATATTTCTTCAGTTTTTGCATTTTGCTCTGCATTGTCAGAATTTGTACATGCTTTGGAGCCAGCCCTGATGGCCTAGTGGTTGGAGTTCTACACTCCCCACTTCAGCAGCCCAGATTTGGTTCCCAGGCGTGGAACCACACCACTCGTCTGTCAGTAGCCATGCTGTGGCAGTGGCTCACATAGAAGAGCCAGGAGAACCTACACCTATACACAACTACGTACTGGGGCTTTGAGGGGGGAAAAAAAGGAAGGAAAAGGAGGAACGTTGGCAACAGCTGATGGCTTAGGGTGAATCTTCCCCTGCAAAAAAAAAAAGGAATTTGTACATGCTTTCTAGTTTTGAATATTTCTACTATGGCTATAGGAAGCCCATTTTTCAATGCTCCAAATGAGAAAGGAAACGTATTGGATGTCCTTTCTGCCGACCAGCCCAGGTTTAAGAGCAAGAAGCAGGTTTAGGAGAGAAGAATGACAAGGTCACATTCATAGAATTTAACCAGGGAGAAGCCTCTCTTTTTTCCACTGCTTGGACACGTGAATCAATGAGATGAAAGAGAACTCATCAGAAAAGAGCCAAGAAACGAAGGTGGACGAAACCGTGAGAAGAAAATAAAGGGACTGTTGAAGACCCCTTCTGATGGTGTTTGCCCCTTACAATTCTGAATGCTTCACTCACCAATTATAAAAATATCCTCTTTGTTATATCAGAGCCTGGCAAGGAGAAGGGATTCTCTCTCACTCTTTGGCCAAGAATTCCCCTGAAACAGGAGGTGGCTCCAGAGAACTAAAACCGGAAACAGGTAAGCGATTGCCTCTGAGAAGTGGGTTGGGGACGGGAGAGGTGGAGAGCCTCCTCATTATAAATCCTCCAAAGTGCTGTTTTGTTTTGAGCGGAAGGGAAATTATATATATATATGTTTTTATATGGTCCTTGCCTCCCTGTGCCCTGGACCCAGCATCCTGGCCCTGGCTCAGTCCTGGGCCTTGCTCTACCAGCCCTGGTAGATAGGATGGGCCTCGGAGAGCAGCTCCTCAGGAAACAGGCCACAGGGGGCCTCCAATGATGTGTCGAGGTCACATAGCTGAGTGGGGTAAAGCCGGGACCCCCGAGGTCCTCCAGCTCTTGGTCTTTCCCTGGGGCCTCATCTCAACCTGTCCAACGTCCAGACTGCCCAGCCTGTGGCTCTCAGCCAAATTCCACTTGAAAAGAGCATTAAGCTTCTGGGGTCAAGATCACTGTTGGCCGCCCCTCCTTGAGGAGTGGAGCAGGGGAGAAACACGAGGTCTCCAGGCCTGGAGGAGGAGGGCAGTGTGTCAAGACATCCCTGAGATGGGACTTGTGACAGTGATGACACCTGCCAGCTTGGTGGTGCCAGGCTTTCTGCCAAACACCTCACCTGTGTTAGCTCATTTAATCCCCACAAATGTTTATTTATGAGGTGGGTACTATTACCCACCCCCACTGTTTCACAGATGAGGAAACAAGTTAACTTTCAGAGTCAGGACTGAATCTTTGACCTTTGGGCTCCAAGCTCAGGGTTCATCCCATGACATGCAGCCTATTACATCCTTGTTTTAGAGATCAGGCATAGGAAGAGATCAAAGTTGTAAGGTGCAATGTAGGGAATGCTTTGAAACAGGCTTGGCTACTACTGGATGTGTTGTGTCTCCTGGCTTCCTTCTGGACACCAGAGAAACCAAGAGAGGAGGGCAGAGGGGAGGAGGAAGGGGGAAGTGGGGAAGGGGAGGGGAGGTGCAGAAGGAAGGGAGAGGAAAAGCGGGAGGGGAGGGGGAAGAGGTTAGAAGAGAGCAGAGGCAGAGAAGCAGGTACAGTGCCCTCTGCCCTTCACTGGGGCTCGAGGAGGCCGCCTGCGCGGGCAGCTCCAGGCTCATCCCTGTGGAGGCTGCCCACGGGGGCTGGTGTCGTGCCCAGAATAAACCAGATGATGCCCTGGACATTTAGTTTACAATCAAGGCAGCACACGGGCCCCCAGTAGAGTCAGTGGGTCAGGGTGTGGTTCTCTGCCCAGAAAAGCAAATTGCAAAAAACCCTGGTATGGTTTGGGCCCGTTCTGTAAAATGAATAACATAAAATAGTATTCACTTAGGCAAAAAGTCTGGAGAAAAATCCCACAAACTCAGGGGTGGTCATCTCTGGAGGGCTCAGGTTAGAGGAATTTTTGACTTCCTGTGTTCTGTATATTCCTACAATGTTTAAATGTTTAACGATGCACATGTAATGCTTTGGTAACCAGAGCGACCGACAAAGAAATGTTTTTAAAGAGAGGGGGTATCCGGACCCTCCACCTGTTATCCTCTCCAGGCTTCCCAAACAACCAACACGTGCCAGCAGCCCCACACCCTGTGTTACCAGGAAGTGTTTATGCCTCAGAAGGATTTTGTCCTGAGTGTGCATGATTAATTATTAAAGAGATGTTGTCAATCCCGTCAGATAAGTTCAGTGTTTTGTGTGAGGATTGAAGTGCTAAGGCCTTCGTCTCCTGACTTTGTGCACTGTTGCCTAGGTGTTAGTTTAAAAAAAATATATGCAACGAGGCGAAATTGTGTGATTTTGTTGTTTTCACGAGTGTCTCGATGCTGAGACCTGAAATGCCTTTACTATTTGCGACAGCTACAGTGCTTTCCTGATCTTCAAGCTCAGGAAAATAGGTCACTGTTATAAGTACTGATTCGGTGAGAAAGAGAGGCTGGGTGAGATGCAAAATCAAAGAGAAAAATGCACGATCCGAACAACTGAGCTGCACTGATGACAGGCGGAAAAGGAGGCCACAGGAGGGGATGCCGAGGAGTGAGAGCAATCGAGGCGACATCCCAGCAGAGGTCAGCTCGGGAGCAGGAGATGGTGGAGGGGAGGGCATCTCAGAGGGGGAAGGCAGACTCAGGCAGAAGGCAGGAACTCAGGGGCCAGGCCTCCACTGGGGCCCACTTGCCACATTTCCCCTTTTCCCTCAGAGAGGTTGAAGTCCCCGCCCAGCCGTGGCTGTAGGCTCCGGAGAGGGTGCTGATCGGAGCTGGGAGGGAGGCCCAACCTATTCCAACTCTGGACTCTGCCCAGGCATTTCCACTGAAAGGAGAAGATGAGCTGAAAGTCGAGAAGGTTGGACCCAGCTTGTCCCCAGGGAAACGCACACCTCCATCTGTCCCTGAGAGTGACTTATTCACCACAAATATGTGAGTAGGAAGAGGGTCCTGCCTCTGTCTGTTCAGCTGTGTGTCTGTCTGTGCATATGCACAGGTGGCTGGTCTTTCCTGGGCTCTGCCTGTGTGTACACTGCCACATGTGTCCCTGCTCCTGTTTGTGCGCATGTGTACCTGCCTCTGGGTATGTGAGCTTAACCAGTCTGGCATTTAGATAGACTAGGGTGCTTCCCAAGAGAAAAAAAAGAGAAGGAACAAGAGTGGGGGGAGATGGGGTCTTAGGACTCTCATTTACAGGTGAGTCTAAGCCTGTGAACTGAGCTTCAGCAAAAAAGGGGAACATATTGGCTCTCATCATTGAAAAGTCCAGGGGTAGGACTGGTTTCAGGTATAGTTGGATCCAGGGCCTGGAATGATGTGATCAGGATATTGTCTCTACCTCCAGGCACAATGAGCTCTGGGATGGTATAAGTGGTGCCAGGCATCTGCTCTCCCTTCTCAGCCTCTCCCTTCCCATCCTCCTCCCATCTCCCCCCTTCACCTGGGTCCTGCCCAGCCTTCCCCTTTCAGCTCTGGGCTCTGACTTTGTCTTTCAGCAGAAAGGTCTGACTCATGGAGGACAATGCATCAAGACGAAGAGAGTCCATTTCTCTCAGATCCATGGCCAATGGTCTGGAGAACGCAGGGGCCGAGTTCTTGGAAAACCTGGTCTGTCCCCTTCCCCATCCCTCTCCTGGCCCCCTGGTAGGAGCAGCTTTTGCTCACCATCTTCCTTCATGGCCCCCGGTGCCTCCCCGGCACCTCTTTGCTTGAACAGTCAGGAACTCCCCGATGTGTTGGCCACCTCTGCACAGAGCAGACCCCGTATTTCACTCATTAAACATTTGCTGTGTACCTGTGATGTGCCGGTGTGGCCTGCCCCGGTCTGAAAGGTCAGGAAAGGTCTCCACAAGGAAGTGAGACCTGAGTTGTGATCTAAAAGCTAAGAAGCAAACACCACGTGATGGGGGCCGGGGTCTCTGGGGAAGTCTCAGCCTCCGGGGAGCCGGTAATCTTGTCCTTGCTCCGTGGTGGCCAGGTGGAGCCCACCACCTAGAACTCAGGAGCCCGACATGACACCCTTTTTGCCCCTAACCTCCCCTGACAAAGCCCCCTCCCCTGCACCACATGGCTCGGCCCCAGGGTGTGCCTTACACAGTGTGATCTGCAAGAATAACTCCCTACACACTGGAACACAACTCCACAGACCGTGGGGCCAATGATGCCCTGGAGCCTCAGGTGAGGTGGCCTTGACTCGGACCTCCCAGCCAGCCACAGCTGAGGCAGGGGTGACCCTCCCTCATGTAGACCATGAGCTCCCTGAGAGCAGGATGTGTCTAGCGCAGAGCTCAGCACACAGTAGGCGCTCAATGCGTGCTTTGCGGAATTTAACTCAGTTGCCCTCTAATTACTTCCTGTGCAAAAGCCCAGCCCCCACCCAGCCCACCCCTGAAGGGCCCGGCTGGTGGCAGCCAGGGGCTCTCCCACTCCACGCCCTGGCTCCCACTTGGAGCAGGAGGCTCACTGGGGCTGCTTTCTCGGGCCTTTAGGAGGAAGGCTGGACCCCTGGCAGTGACTGGAGTCCTGCAGTGGATGGAAGGAGCGAGGCCGGTCCGGAGCCCTCTGCAGGATGGTAGGTGGTCTCTGGGAGTGGCACAGGCTGGCTGGGGGAGGAGGCGGCCATGGGGATCAGGGCTGGGGAGCCTCCTGGTAGACGGGGAGGGGGCTCCCCGGAGCTGGGTGCAGGAAAGGCGTAGACGTGCATCAGCCAACAAGCCCCACAGGCCTCTGCCTCGGCTGTGAGCCAGGCTGGAGCTCCCGACCTGCTCTGAGGCAGCCAAAGCAAAATCCGTCAGGAACCCCAATATGGACCTGGGGGCTGCACCTGTGGAAGTTGGATGGGGGCCTCGAACCAGCCTGGACTTCCTCTCAACCTCTTCATCTACCTTCTACCCCGTTCAGCCTCTGGGGCACCTTGGGGAACCTTGAGGCTCAGTTTGAAGACCCCTAGACTGGGCCAGGGCCCTTGTTTCACATGGGGAGTCTGAAGCCCAGAGACGGAGAGGGACGGGCCCAGATCACACAGGCAGCAAGTATGAGCCTAGAACTTGGCCTCCTGACGCCCGGGTCCACCAAGGTCCTCACTGGCCAGATCCTGAGCTGGGGAGAGCATGATGGGCAGGAGGTGGTGGTGGGGATTCCCTCTGTCAGCCTTCTGGGGGAGATTGGAGAAGGAGGCCCCACTTAGGAGGTAGGAGGTGGGGACAGACAGAAGGGAGAGAGTCTCCTTAAAACAGCAGCTGGTGGCTGAATGAACATTGAGAGACCATCTCCCACATGCTCAGCCTGTGGGACCCCAGAGGCTATTCAGGTACCAGCCTTTCCTCCAGGGATAGACAAGTGACCAAAGGACCAGGCAAGAATTGGCATTTGCACTGGGCCTGGAAGGCAGTGGGGGCCACTTGATGGCTGCCGGGAGTGGAAGCGGGCTGTGCACACATCCTCTCACTGGGAGCTTGCTGACTCAAATAAGTGTCCCGGGGACCAAGGGGGTGAATGCAGAGCTGGGAGCCTCTCCAGTTTGTCCACAGATGGTGGAAATGGGACAGGGAGGGGAGGCAGCCGTCGTTTTCTGTGCCTTCTTTATGTTGGTAAGGTTCTTCTCTTCGTCTCAGTTCATTCCCTCCCAAGCCCTGGAGGCAGAGTTGTCACTGGGCAGTGGTGCTGTTGCTCCAGCTGCAGGCACAGCTGGTGCAGATAGAGGCCGGAAAGCATGGATGGCCTGGCCATTCCTCAGTTTCCTCTGGGCCAGGGTTGCCCTTCAGCGCTGTGGGATGTCAAGGCCTGTGCCTGGCTTGCCCTATGTTGCCATTTTACTGGGGACATAGCTGAGTGGCTTCCACCTGGAGGTGTTGAGGATCCCCATGGGGGCGGGAGTTTGGGGTGGCCACTCATGGACCCTGCTGGTCGTCTCCCCAGGAGGATCCTGCAGCCGGCCCTGGGAGTGAGACGCTTCTGCAGGGAGCACGTGCGGCTGTGGAGGTGGATCTGCATAGGCCTGCTCTGTACTGGTGAGCCTGGGGCCCAGCCCAGCCTGGGAGACAGACACTCCCACCCCAGCCCCCAGCCCCCAGCCCCCACCACTCAAGTTGCAGCCACCTCCCCCCAGCCACTCACAAGGGGAGAGTCATTCACTGACCCATTCATTCAACAAAGGTTTGCTGAGCACCGACTCAGGGCCAGCTCCTGTGCCAGAAGAAGCTGGGGCATCAGAATCGAGCCAGACCAAATCCCAAGGCACTCTCTGATCCGTAATGGAGAGGGGAATAAATATTTTCACACAATGCAGTAAGCTGTCTGGGAGCACCAAAGAGGGATGGCAGGTGATCAGGCAGGAATTCCAGGAGGAGGTGACATTCAAGTCTCATAGGTTGAGCAGGAGTTAGCCAGGTGGAGGGAAAGGACAGTAAGGAGTGAGAACACACTTGAAGCAGAACCATAGGAGCAAAGGTGAAAACCGGCAGGGTGTGGGCAGGGAGCAGATAAATAGTCTAGTGCGGCTGGAGGGTAATGTTCTAGACAAGGAGTGCCAGAGGACAAGCTGGAGTGATAGGAGGGCACGGTATTGGGAGAGGGTTGGAGGGGGACGCTCAAGCGCTTGGATTTTACCCTCAAGGCCAGAGAGAGCCATTGAAGGATTTAAACAGGGAAGTGTCAAGGTCAGAGTCACATTGTGGGACCCTGGAAGAGGCGAGCAGGAAAGATGGGGAGAAGGAGACGTTGAGGGCAAGAGTACGTGTGTGAGAAGATGAAGTGGTGGAAGGTGGAAGCGGGTGACTTTGAGCCATCCTCGGGAAGCAATGCCAGCCAAATCTGGGAGCTGATCAAGCGTGCAGAACGGAGACCCTGGAATCCAGGATGCCTCAGGGTTCTGCTTGGGTGACGGGGTGGGTTATGGTGCCCCCCACAGACCTAGGGAGCATGGTGGAGAAGGGGATCTTGGCAGGCGGGATGATGAGTTGTTTGGACAGGGTGTTGAAGTACCACTGCCAGGCCATGCAGGAGGAGAGGAGGTGTCCCAGGGACCCCTGGAGAATGAATCCAGAAGTGGGTCGAGGACAGAAGCCCGGGGACCAGCCCCACAGAAGGAGCTGGCAGAGGAAGAGGGGCCCTGAAAGAGCCTGAGAAGGCGTGGAGATGGGGGCGGGAGCAGGAGACCCCGAGAGGGGTTGGTGCCAAAGCCGAGGGAGCAAAGGATTTCAAGAAGGAGAGGAAGATCCACAGGGGACCACCGAGAGAGGGACTGAGCAGGGTCCATGGAATTTAGGGACAAGGTGGTCACTGGTGGCTCACTGGTCACTCCAAAATCTCGATTGGAGTGAACGGAGGTGAGGCACTGTAGACAGCAAGTATAGACAGCTCTTTAGAGAAACTTTTCATATGGAAAGCAGAACAATTCATGGATAGAGTGTGACAGTGTCAAGGAGGGGTAGTTTGTGATGGGAGACACTTTGACAGTGTTTATGAGCCGAGGCAAGGAGTTTGTAGAAAGAAGGTGAAGGACTAGGAGACAGAGCTGAGTGGTAGAGCAAGGTTCCCGGGGCCCAGGGAAGGAGGGCACCTGGACTCAGGGGCAGGGGCAGATCTTCATCGCTGGAGGCCCACCTCATCCTGTCAGGTGGAGACGGAGAGGGAAGGTGGGTGTGCATGCAGAGACTTCGCGGGGGCCGGGCAGGGGAGAGGACATGAGAAACAGGACAGCAGTGGCCCCAGTCTTCGTGATGAAATCGAAAGAAGGGTCGTCTCCAGCGACGGGGCTGGTTTACGGCTCCCCGCAGCTTCTTTCCGGAGATGTCTGAGGTAGTGAAGTCTTGCTTTGGCACAATCTGAGCCAGGGGCTTCTCTGTTCCCCTTGCTTCTGCCTTCACTCAGACTCAGCTTTGTTTCTCTTGAAGAAACGATCGAATTCCTTCTAATAGATCATGAAAATTACCTACCTCGTCCTATTTCCACTCTCGTCTTGGCTGTCAGGAATCCAGTCTCCGTCACTGTGTTCCTCACCGTGGCCAACGTCCGCTTTCTCCACGTTTGGATTTTGATCTCCTCTGGCTCTTTAATATCGCTATGGTATTGTGTGTTTTACGGTGAGGCCCTTGACGTGCTCTCCGGGAGCTGGTGTGACAGAGAGATGCAGCTCACATTCTCAGCGCCTTGGGCCTGAGCTGCAGCAGTGGCTTCCTCGCCTTAGGTAGGCTTTCTCCCTGGGTGCAGTTGAGCCCTGGCAGGTTAGTGGCATGGAGGACCTCAGTGTCCCCAATCTCAGAAAAAGAGCGTGCCTCTTGCTCATAGTTCCAGCCAAAGTCCCCAGAGGTCTTTGATTGGAACAGCCCGTGTCATGCGCCCATCCCTGAACCAATCCCTTGGCCCTGGGGGATGCGGTGGTTTCCCATCCCTGAAGTGGGTCAGGCACCACTGGACCACAGGGACTAAGAGTAGTGAGCGGTGCCCAAAAGGAACAGAAAAGTCCTGTCACCAGAGGGGTGAATGGATCCTAGATGGATGAAAATACTTACTAAGACACGTTTCTCCTGTGCCCTGCCTGGAGGATTCATCCCACTGCCTCCTCTCCTGCACGATGTGCCAGTCACTCCCTAAGGCCCCAGTGGCCACAGGCCCCTAGAGAAACAGACCTGGGTTGGAATCCTAGTCTGGTTTCCTCCCTCTAGGAGCCACTCGCTTCGCTGGTCTCAGAAGCCTCGTCTCTAAGTGGGCATCACCTAGTCCCGGCCTGTGGGATCCTTGTGGGGAATAGTCGTATGAGTGCTGGAGAGTGCTGGGCACAGCTCCTGCCCTGGCCAACTCCCCTCCCTTCCCCTCCCAGAGCCCTGTGCCTGCGTCCTGGCACCCGTGTGCCTCTAAATGACACCCATACAGGCAGGGATTCCAGGCCACAGACTTGTATGTGAGAGAAACGTAACTTTGTTTTCTACAGCTTGGCTTATTTTCTCTTTCAGTTTCGTCATTCCAACTGAGTGGTGGGAACTTAATTCTGTCAATTTGGAAAGTCCCTTCACCCCTGTCCCCAGGAGTCCCCAGGGAGGCTTATCCGCCATCGGTGCTCAGGCGTCCACTGACCTGTCCGCTTCTCCAGCTGGTCACAGGGTCTCTGTCCTTGCAGGTGGCCGTGGAGACAGCCCCGCCCACGGCCTGCTCTGGGCTCCCACCTCTCTCCTCTGCGAGTCCCTCACGGCGGTCAGCAGTCGTTTCTGCTGCTTCGGGGCCTGCTGAGGTGTGCGGAAACTCAGAAGCTTCCTGCAGCTCTGCCTGCACCTGCACGGCACGGGCACTCCTCTCTCTCAAATCTCGCTGCCTCCCTGGTGTGGGCCTCCTCTGCTTGCAATGCCACAAACACACCTGGGCTTTTGCCACCTCCCAGGCTCAGGCTGGGAGCAGGGGCAGAGCCCCCTTCTCTGGGACCCACCAGCGTCCTTGCTCTCATCATCCTCCAACTGGTCTGGCCACAGAGGGGTACAGGGAAGGGCTCACACTTACTCATAATGTTTCATCTCACATTTTTTATCCAATAGAAAGGCCAAAAGTCCTTTTGAAATTCATAAGCCAGGGAGAGAGAGTTCCCCCTCTGCTATCTGCTATTGTATTCCTTTCTTGAGGCATAGCCCAGGCTGGCTGAGGTGCTCACAGGGGAGAAGGGCGAAGGGGAAAAAGGAAATTCTAGGAAGAAAATGGTCATTGATTAATATTTCAGAATAGGATCCTGGCACACACGCGTGAACTCGTTCCTGGAGTAACGGACTCGTCCATCTCTGTCCTCTGTGGAACCTAATGTGACTCTGGAACACACCAGGCTCTCCTTTGATGCTCAGAGATGGGCCGTCTTGCCTCCTCCTTACACATCTCTTCCCTCACATTGGTCAGAACTTTACAGTTTGCAAAGCCCTTTCACATACATTCTGTCCGTTAGCTCCATAACAACCCTCTAACTTGATAGAGATGATTATTCTCAAGTCCAGAAGAGGAAACTGAGGCTCAGGGAGGTTGGGTCACATTCTCACCTTCCGAGCTCTGGATGGAGTAAGATGGAGCCGGCGGGCGGGGCTGCAGGGGCCTGGAGAGGTCAGTGTCATCATCATTGACCCCTTCTCCGTCTCTTCCCCCACCGACTCCCAGCATTCGCTGCCTTCCTGCTGATTGCCTGTCTCCTGGATTTCCAGAGGGCCCTGGCACTGTTTGTCCTCACCTGTGTGGTCCTTGTCTTCCTGGCCCACAGCCTGCTAAAGAGGCTGCTGGGGCCGAAGCTGTGGAGGCGTGTCGAGCCTCTGGGGCATTCCCGCCTGAACCTCTGGCTTAAGAGGTGAGTGAGCTCACAGCCCCAAGGCAGGGCTGGGGAAGGGCTGCCGGCTGGAGGCCTCTTGTCAGCTCCAGGGTCACAGCCAGGGTGGGCGAGAAGGGCTTCAGCCCTTGTCCCACCAGAGGGTTTCTGTGCCATGGGGAACATACCCCACCCTGCTTGCCTCCTGGGAGGCCCCGGGCCGGTGTTGCTGGGTGGCTTCAAAGGCAGCAGCCATTTTTGTGACATTTTGCCAGTTCCCGTCTGGTTCTCTGGCCCAGTTACAACAGGTGACTATGACATCTGAGAACAGGACTCAACAGTTCCTGAATTCAGAGATCCCAGCTCATCCAAGCGGGGAGGGCTTGGATTAGTGCTTCCTATCAGATCACCTGGGGCCTGTGGGAGTCACACAGCTGCAGGCGCCCACCCCTGGAGTCTGAGTCAGCAGGCTGGGTTGGGGTCTAGGTGTCAATATTTTCAGTTAGCCCCCAGGGGATTCTGACGTAACCAGCCATGTACCTGGACAACAGTTTGGGATCCCCTGGTTTTCAAACTGAATTTCTTAGAGACCTGGAAACTTAGGAGATGCTATGGGCAGGAGAGGGAGATTGGGGAGGAGAACATCAAACACCACCCCCACCCCCATCTCAACCAGGCAGCTCTATTTTATCTGTTTTATGGATCAAGTTTTGCAAAAAAAAAATTAGCTGGAAAAAAGGGTTTCTATGGCTTAAAAGTCGGAAGACCACCTATCTATTTTAGCACTCTACTTTGTTGACAAAGAAACCGGTGCCCAAAGGTGTCCAATGACTCAGCCAGGGAGGTACAGGGCACAGTGGTGTTTCCCAAGTCAGATCCAGCAAAAAGATCTGAGCCGGCCTTGGGAGAACCAAGTTTTCATTTTATTTATAGATAGATTTACTTTTCCATTTGCCTTCTCTTTGTTAAATAGATTTACAAAAGGATTTATTCTTACAATTATCGTCTGTTTATGACAGATCATTGATAGCTGGTTTTCCATTTGAGGTATTGACATAAAATTTCCTTTAAAAAATATATGCAGAAAAAGTAGACTTTATAAAAACTAAAAACATTTTGATTCAAAGGACACCAACGAGAAAGTGAAAAAATAACCCACAGAATGCGAGAAAATATTTCAAACTACATATCTGATAAGGGACTTGTATCTAGACTTACAACTCAACAATAAAAAAACAAATAGACCAATTGAAAAATAGGAAAAGGATTTGAATAGACATTTCTCCAAAGATATACAAATAGCCAATAAGCACATGAAAACATGTTCAACATCATTAGTCACCACGAAAATGCAAATCAAAACCGCAATGAGATACCGCTTCGCATCTACTAGGATGGCTATAACAAAAAACAGAGGTGATAAGTGTCGGCGAAGACATGAAAAAATTGAAACCCTCACACTCTGCTGGTATGGTATGGATGTAAAATGGTGCAGCTGCTTTAGAAAACAATTAGTCAGTTCCTCAAAATATTATACATGAAGTTACCACACCCAGCAATTCCACCCCTAGGTATATACCTAAGAGAGATGAAAACACGAGTCCATACAAAAACGTCTACACAAATGTCCATAACATTATTACTCATAATAGCCAAAAAGTGGAAACAACCCAAATGTCCATCAACTGATAAATGGATACATTAAATGTGTATATCCATATAGTGGAATATTATTCAGCCATATGAAGGAATGTGGTACAGCTGTGTGTCACTTAACAGCAGGATACATTCTGAGAAATGCGTCATTAGGTAATTTTGCTGTGTATGAACATCATAGTGTTTACTTATGCAAACCTAGATGGTATGGCCTACTACACACCTAAGCTATATGGTACTGATCTTATGGGACCACCGTCACATATGCAGTCTGTTGTTGACTGAACCGTCGTTATGTGGCACCTGACTACACTGATAAATACGACAATAATGATGAAGCTTGAAAACATTGTGCTAAGTGTAAGAAGCCAGTCACAACCACATATCGTATGATTCCATTTATATGAAATATCCAGAATAGGCAAATCTGTAGAGACAGAGAGTAGATTAGTGACTGGCTAAGGCTGGAGGGTGAGATGGAGAACTGGGGGGGTGATAGCGAGGGATGCGGGGTTACTCTTTGGGCTGATGAAAATGTGTTAAAATTGATTGTGGTGATGGTTGTACAACTCTGTGAATGCATTAAAACCATCAACTGTACACCTTACATGGTCAAATTGTATGGTTTGTGAATTTTGTCTCCATAAAGCTGTTTAAAAAATATACACATGTAGTTTCAGCTTCCAGTCAAGATAGAATAACAGAGACCAGATTTATCCTCCTACTTGAGAAACAACTAAAAAACCAGAACGAATATATGAAACAATAGCTCTTAAAACATTGGATATTAGGCAACAAAGGACAGTGATCCTTGAGAAACAGGAAACAAATGAGGTGAGCCTTATGATTGCACCAGTTTACTGCATTGAGAGAGTTTCCAGGCCACAGTGTGAGGGAAGGGAACCAAGGTGGGGCCAACGGATGTCCTGAGTTGAGGAAACAGAGCTGGGAGTCCAGGGGAGCCAAGGTGGCTAGAGTTCCCGTTGCAGAGTACCAGAGAGGAGAGAGGTGGACACAGAGAAACTCCAGAGGTCTGCCGAGGGTCCTCCTCGAGTCTTGAATTGAGTTCTGATCAGTGAACACATATGAGGAGACTACCCAAGGCCTAGGAAAGGACCACCCAACAGGATTAAAGGGAGCAGCAGTACCTGGAAATCACACAAGGCCTGGAATAGTGTTTATTCTCAACAGAGTGGAAAACCTCATCATTCACCGGGCATTGTCTGGAGCACTAAGATCGAACTTGGGTCAGTAGTAGGGAAAAATTAACCAGAGAATAAACCCTGCTCAGGCTCTGCCTGACAAATCTGGACAACAAAACTGGAAAGTGTCAAGCAGAGCATGAGCTAACCATCGCACAACTTTACGTGGGCAAATATACGTGTAAGTGAAGTCTCCAAAGGAGAAGGAGGGAAGAAGAAAATACTTGAAGAAATTATGTCCAAAAAATTCCAAATTTGATGAAAATTATACCCAAAGATCCAAGAAACTCCATGAACCCCCAGCACAAGAAACATGAAGAAAACCACACCAAGCATGTCATGATCAAACTCCTTAAAACCAGTGATAAAGAGAAAATCTTAAAAACAACTAGAGAAAAAAAGACGTACAGAGGAACAAAGATAATAACAGCAGATTTCTTCTCAAAAACAATACAAATGAGGAAACAGTGGCACCGTAAAAAACAGAACCAAAAACGTGTCAGTCTAGAATTCTTTACTGGTGAAAGATCTTCCTTCCCCCAAAAAAACACTGGAGAAATAGGACTTTTTCAGATATACAAAAGCTGAAAGAAATTTTCAGACATAGGAAAGCAGACCTGCACTACAAGAAACGTTCAAGGAAATTTTTCAAACAGAAGGAAAATGATACCAGTTGGAAACTTAGATGTACGCAAAGGAAAGAAGAAGATCAAAATGGCAACCATGTGGGTGACTATAACGACTGCTTTTCTTACTATTTAAATTTCTTTAAAATGTAGTCAACTTATAAAGCAAGAATAATAACAATGTATGTGGAATTTATATTATACGTAGAAGTAAAAAACAATAGTGCAAAGGCTGGGAGAGAAGAAATGAAATTATACGGCTGTGTGTTTTTTATGCTGCATGTGAAGCAGTATAATACCATTTAAAGGTAGATTGGGATAAGTTAAAGATGTGTACTATAAATGATAAGGCAACCACTAAAATAACACAAAAAAGAGTGATACCTAACCAATTAAAAAAAAAGAGAAAAGAAGAATCACTCAAAAAATAGTCAGTCTGAAAGAAGGTAGAAAAGTGGGAAAGGGGAACAAAGAATAGAAGAGACAAACAGAAAATAAATAGCAAGATGGTAGGTTTTACCCCTCCCCCCATACCAATATTCACATTAAATGTACAGGCCAATATCCCTCATGAACAAAGATGTGAAAATTATTAACAAAGTTTTAGAAAACCAAATGCAATAATATGTAAAAGGTATATACCTAATGAGTGGAATTGCTGGGTATAACGTACAATGAGTGGGGTTTATCCCAGGAATCAAAGTTGGTTTAACATTAAAAAAATCAAAGTCAAGTATCATATTAACAGACTAAAAAGAAAAACCAAATAATCATGCCAATAGATTCAGAGGAAGCATTTGACGAAATTTAACATTCATTCCTGTGAAAAGATTCTGAGCAAACTAGGAATAGAAGGGAATTTTCTTAACCTGATAATGGGCAGCTACTAAAAATCTACAGCTAATATCATAATTAACTGTGAAAGATTGATGCTTTCCGATGAGATCAGGACCAATACGAGAATGTCTATTCGCACCACTTTTATTCAACGTGGCACTGGAGGTTCCAGACTGTGCAATAAGGTAAGAAAAAGCACGAAAACCCTGCAGATTGGAAAGGAAAGAGTAAAGCTGTCTTTACACAGACAACATGATTGTCTACATGGAAAATCCTATGAAATCCATGAAAAAGCTAATAGAACTAATAAGCGAGTTTAGCAAAGTTTTAGGATACAAGATCAATACATGAAAAATCAGCTATATTTCTTTATGCTAACAACAAACCAGCATAAATTAGAATTATAAATGCCATTTAGAATAGCATAAAACATATAAAATACTTAAAGATCAATCTGACAAAAGATGTGCAAACTTGTACATTGAAAACTAGAAAATATTGCTGAGAGAAATTAAAGACGACTTACATAGAGCAATATACCAGGTAGATGGATCAAAAGACCCAGTATTGTTAATATATCAATTTTCCTTAAATTAATCTATAGATTCTAATACATCTCAATCAAAATTATAGTGGGCTTTCTTGGTAGAAATTGATGAGATGATTCTAAAATTCATATTGAAATGCAAAGAACGTTAACAGCCAAAACAACTTAGAAAAAGATAAATAAAGTTGATGAAGTTATACTACCTGTCTTTAAGACTTACTATAAAGCCACAGCAATCAAGACAGTGTGGGATCCACATCAAAACAGACAAATAGATCAATGCAACAGAATAGAGAGTCCAGAAATAGATCCACATATGTATGGTCAATTGACTTTTAGCAAGGGTGCTAAGGCAATTCAGTGGAGAGAAGATAATCATCTTAACAAATTGTGCTAAAATAATGGGATAACCACATTCAGAAGGAGGAGGAGGCGGAAGAGGAGAAGAAGAGGAAGAAGAGAAAGAAGAAGAAACAGCAGCGAAGGAGGAGGATGAAGAAGAAGAAAAGGAAAGAACTTTGATCCATGCCTCACATTATATAAAAAATTACCCCAAAATGGACATAAACCTAAATGTAAAGCCTAAAACTATAAAAATTCTATAAGAGAACATAAGAGAAAATCTTTGTGACCTTGACTTAAGTAATAATTCCTAGATACAAAGCCAAAATCACAATCCATAAAAAAATTGATAAATTGAACTTTATTAGAATTAAGAACTCCTGCTCTTCAAAAGACACTGTTAAGAGAAAAGACAAGCCACGACTAGGAGAGAAGTTTTGCAAATCATATATCTGACACCTATCTTTGATCCAGAATATATAAAGGACTCTCAAAACTCAATAATAGAAAAAACAACCCGATTTAAGAATGGGCTCAAGATTTGAATAGACGTTTGATTAAAGAAAATATGTAAGTGACAAGCAAGCACATGGAAAGATGCTCAACATCATTAGTCATTAGGGAAATGCAAATTAAAACCACAAAGAGATACCACTATATGCCTATTAGAATGACTGGAATTCAAAAGATGGACCATACCAAGTGTGGGCAAGGACGCAGAAGAACTGGAACTCTTATATGCTGCTGGCGGGAATGTGGATTGTACAGTCACTTTGGAAAACAGTTTGGCAGTCTCCTAAAAAGTCAGACCTACTGGATGATTCACCCATTCCACTTATATTATTTACTCAAGAGAAATGAAAGCATATATCCATACAAAGACTTGGCATGAATGTTTGAATATTTATAGCAGCTTTATCTGTAATAGCCCAAAACTGGAAACAACCTAAATCCCCATCAACAGGTGAATGGGTAAACCAGTTGTGGTACATCCACATTATGGAATACTACTCAGCAATAAAAAGGAATGAACTGCTGATGTAGGCAAAAACATGGCTGAGTCTCAAAATAATCATGCTGAGTGAAAGAAATCAGGCAAAAAAGAATATGCATTGTATGATTCCATTCATTGAAAATGCTAGAAAATGTGAATAAACCTAGTGACAGAAAATAGATCAGTTGTTGCCTAGACACAGGGAGACAGGCAAGGAATTACAAAGGGGCACAAAGGAACTTTTGAGGGTGCTGGATATGTTCGCTGTCTTGATTGTGGTGATGGTTTTAAGGTGTATAGTGTGCATATGTCAAAACGTATCAAATTGTACACTCTCAACATGTTTCGTCTCTTATATGTCAATCATACCTTTCACAAAGTTGTGAAAAACAAACCCCCACAAAAACCTCAAAACATGCATTTAAATTTTTATCAAAGGAGCTAACTTCAAGAAAAATAGTAAGTAAAGAGATGTACAGGTGGCCCAGAGACAAGGCAGGAATTGTGCCTATGGAGCTGGGACTTGAGGAGTTTGGGAAACAAGGGCAGAAAGAAACAGTAAACTCTGGAGTGGCCTGCTTGAGTTCAGGTCTGGGTCGGCCTCTTAAGAGCTGGTATAGAACTAGTTATAGAATAGATTTGGCGGCCAGAGCACCTGGGTTAAAATCTCAGCTCTGCTGCTTTCTAGAGGGGTGGCCGTGGGCAAGTGATTTTACCTCTCTGTGCCTCAGTTTCTTCATCTCTGAAATGAGGGTGGTGACCATATGTCTCTCAGCACTGGGCATAGTTCCCGGCACATGAGGTGCTCGGTGAACACTGCTCTCAAGGGTGGTACCCAGGGAGTTGATGACTGGCTCAGGGCTAGACCTTGGGCACCCAGTGCCCAGCCCTGGGCTCTCAAACACTTTGTGCTGCCTCCTGGTCAAGCAAACGCCAGCCCCAGGGAGGGAAGCGTTGCTGTAGAGGTTGCATCTAGTCCTTGGTCCCAGCTGCTTGGCTCAATGATCTAGATTGATATTATTTCTTCTGGGCTTTTGGGGAACAGAGCCCGTGGCCCATAGAGCTGAGTTCTGGGCCACAAAATTCCCCCGGCTCACTCTGGCAAGGTCAGATGCTGGGCTGAGCTGAGCATCATTGCAGCTCTGAGAATTTCTGCCCCTTGATGAAGCCATGTGCTTGATACCATGCTAAGCTCAGTACACACATTCTCTTCTTTAGTCCTCTCCATGACCTTGAGAAATGAGAGGTCTTTGGCTTTATTTTCCCAATGAGGAAACTAGACTCAGAGAGGCTGGATGGTCTGCCCCAGGTCACACAGCTCTCTCTCCTCCCATCAGCCCTGAGCACCTCTTCCCTGGGGCCCTGGGTGCTATTGTGTGTGGGTGGGGGAGATGCTGAGGTGATGGCCTTCTGCTTTTCCCCTGCAGGGGTCTAGCCCTCGCTGCTTTCCTGGGCCTGGTCCTGTGGCTGGCTCTGGACACCTCCCGGCGGCCGGAGCAGCTGGTGTCCTTTGCAGGAATCTGTGTGTTCATCGGCCTCCTCTTCGCCTGCTCCAAGCATCACCGTGCAGTGAGTGTTGGTTGTCAGGCCCAGTGGGCCTCAGTCCCTCATCTCTCTCTGTCTCCTTGGCATCCATCCATCCCCTGACATCAGGACCCATCCCTGTTCCACAGTGTGGTTAACACCTGCCCCCAGGCTCCAACCAAGCTCCCGGAGGTCCTGAATATGGGGACCACAGCTAAAGAACCACAAAATGCTGAGAGGCAGCAGCAGCCCGTAGGAGGCCAGCTCCCCTTTGCTGGGGGGGCGGCCATCAAGGGAGAGGGGGTCAGGGAGGAGGAAAGACGGAGGGTCCAGGCAGACAGAGGTTACCCTGAGGCCAGACCTGAGGCCACCATTCCAGTTCTGTCAACCTAGTGGTGACGGGGACCAAGTGCCCTGGCACACCAAGGCTGGTCGAGTCTCACGTGGGTCCTTGGTTAGACCTTGTCCCAGCCCTGCCCACTCTCCCAGGCCCATTGCTGCCGAGAGTGTGGCCTATACTGAACCCAGGAGAATGTGACCATTGGCGACAGTCCCAGAGCTCGGGCTGGGTCCAGCCCCCATCCTACAGACAGGCCAAAGCTCTCGCAACTCCTCAGGAGCCCGTGCCCCGTGTCCTCACCCTACCTGTTCCCTGTGGGTCCCCCAAGGAGAGGAACTCACCAGGACCTTTCTATTGGGTGGCAGGTGTCCTGGCGGGCCGTGTCCTGGGGCCTTGGGCTACAATTCATACTAGGACTCTTCGTCATTAGAACAGAACCAGGATTTACTGCGTTCCAGTGGCTGGGCGACCAGATCCAGGTGTGTACGTGGGGCCATACTGCCCAGGGCATCTTGGGTTGCCAGGGACTAGAGGAGAGGACACTCGGTTTGGGGGGAGGTGGGTGATAAAGCCATAGAAAGGTATTGGGACCAGGATGGTGGGTGTGTACTGGGGCCCCAGACCAGGTGGGGGCTGGGCGATGCTGTGGCTACTTCCCCTGGGCCTGGTGCCACCCGCCCAGACAGAGCAGTCCCTTCAGAGGCTGAGGCTGAAGTGGAAGAGATCTCAGAACAAGGGGGTTCTCAGGGTCCCTGGGCACCGCAGCCTGCGGCCCTCAGCCGTCATCAGCGGTGTAGAACTTGTGAGAGTTAAAAGTGCAAAAAAATTGTAAGAGATTTACTTTGTGTGTGTGTGTTTAAAAATAATGTTCAATTTGTTGAAGTTATACTTTTTAAATTCCATCTTCTTTGTTGGGATAAACACACATAACACAAAATTTGCCATTTGATCCATTTTTAAGTGTCATTAAGGTCATTCACATTGTTGTGCAACCATCATGATTTACTTTTTAAAACAGGAGTTATCGAGGATGCAGTTGCCTCCTGTACTCACCCCCTCTCACCATCTCTCATTTCCACATGCTCTCTGGAAGGAGAGCTCGGGGGGCGGGGGAGTGGAAATCCTGCGTGTCCAGGCTCTGTGCACGCCCGCTGGCCGTGCCACGGGCATCTGCGTGGGTGTGGCAGAGGAAGACAGAGTTGCTGCTCTGGTCATGCCCCATTTTATAGATGGGAACATGGAGGCCTGGATAAGAGAAGTGACTTGTCCTGAAGTCACGGTGCAACTTCAGGACCTAAACACAGGTCTCCTGTAGAAGTGTGGCCAGATTCGAACACCAAGGACATGAGCCTGAGATGGGGACAGGATGGGGCCTGTGTCACTGGATGGGAGGGGAGTGGGCAGGCACAAAATGCTTCCCCTTTGCCCGCCTCCTCCATGTGTCTCACAGTCTTGCTTCCTCCATTGTCGCTTGTTTATTGTCCAAACAACTCTCATCTCAGAGTATTTCTTTAAAATTTATTGAAAAGATGTCTCTTCTGGAGAATGTGCTACGAAGGAGCATTCGCCTGTGAATGTGGCTTTAACAGCGCATGTTGCCAGGTGGTACCCCAGCCTCTGATAAGGCCCAGGGCCTGGGGGACCCCATCCTTGGGCCAACCCAGCCGGGTCCAGGAAGGCTTGTGGCCTCGGTGTCCCTCTCTCCCCACTGGGCTGCTGGGAAGGCCCACGGAGCAGGTGAGGCCCCCCCAGCTCACCCCAGCCTGGTTCTCCGGCCAGTTTCTGCCCTCTTCCCTCCCTGGCCTCAAGCTGGGTATCGTTCCATCTGTTTTCTCCTTTCAGATCTTCCTGCGCTACACCGAGGCCGGCTCCAGCTTCGTGTTTGGGGACACTCTCGTCAAGGATGTCTTCGCCTTTCAGGTCAGCTCAACTCTTGGCCCACGAGGCCTTTAGCAGCCGCTGCCCAGCACCTCCAGCTAGTGGAGTCTGGGCAAGCCGTGCCGGGCCAGGCCCCGGTGGAGGGGAGGGCTCCTGCAGGTAGAGCCGGGTACTGCAGCTGATGAGGTTTAAGCCTCGGGTCCTGGGAAGGGGCCACGGCAAAGTGCTCACCTGGTGATATGTTTTCACTACATTTTGTAAAATTTGCAAAACTAAGGTATATCTGCATTCTTTTCCTTAAAGATGAATACCCAAATGGCAGAATTGCTGGGAGGCTGAGGACAAAAAGAGAGGGTAGGGGCATGGGGATTGTGTTTGGTGCCACCTTAGCCCCCCGACAGCTACAGGGCCCCTGGACCTGTAAAGGACAGTTTCCAGGAACCCTCAGGCTCAAATGGTCCTCTCGGTGTGCTCCTCCTTCAAGGCTGCTCACAGGCGGCCTTTGACAGGAAGCCTGCCCTCATGAGTCCGGCTGCCAGCTACAGCTCCCTCCTCTGGACCCGCCTAGACCCACAGTCCCTCCCTCCCTCTCTCGTCCCTTCCTTCCAGCAAAAATTTATTGTGCATCTACTGCAGTGCAAAATATTATGGGGGAAACTGAGGTAAAGACTGAAAGACCTTATTGTGTATTGGTAGAGCCCCCGCCCTAACGTGAAATAGGGCAGCCTGTGCTGAGCATGCAGTGGTGTGGCCGCTTCACAGCTCTGAGTGGAGCTGTGGCCGTATGTCTTCTTTCTCCAGTCAGCTGCCCAAGCACCTAAATGCCTCCTCGAGTAAGAACTCTGGCTCTCCTCTGCCTGCCTCCCCCCCAAACTGTCTAGGGACCTGAAGCCGGCTCCAGCTTCAGCTCCACTTCCAAATGCCGGGTGGAGAGAGACTTGGGGCCCCGCCCTCCCATTAGCTGGTCCCAGATTTCTGCAACTGTTGCCACAGCACCACGGATGGAAATCAGTGCCGCCCACTCCAGAGTGTCGTGGACCACTGTCGTGGTGGGACTGCTGCATGGGCTTTATGCGTAGGTTCTGGAGGTTTCTGCTTTTGTCATTTTCCCATCCACTGTTCCCAGAGCCTCCCCCCACTGCTGGGGCTGCCAGAGACTGAAGGCTTCCGGCCGGAGACTGAAGGCTTCCGGCCTGAGCCATGTGCTGGGCTGTGAACTTCTGGCCCGGTGTTAAGCCAGGTCATGAGTCCAGACACTCCTGCTCACCCCTGCCCCTGACTCGTGGTGAGGTCCTCTTGGAGCCTTGGCGTCTGTTTGTGCCAGCAACTCTCTGGAAAGTGTCCACTCCGTCCAAGGGGTTCTAGTCCTAGGAGGAAAGGGGGAGGGGACCAGGTTCCTGTCCTTGCAGGAGTCTTCTGTACCCCAGGACAAATTTGTCCATCAGGTTTCTGAGACAGTTCTCTGCAGGGCGGGGCGGGGTGGGGGTGGGGACCGGGAGGGGCAGCCTCTGTCGCCCCCTCCGAACGAACGTCCCCCAACACCATTCCCTTAAGGCAAGGCGGGTGCTTCTCCCTCCACATTTGCATTTCCAAAGAGGGGCCACCTAAGGTTTCAGGGCTGAGCCATGAAGACCCGCTCTGGGGTGATTTCTCTTGTCTACCCAGACAGAGGAATGGTGGCCGGCAGCTTCTCACGCTTTTATAAGACAAACACAAGACACCCTGCTGTTCGGCCTCCCCGGGCAGCCGGGGTCAAGTGCAATTGGCACAAAGGAAAGTGGCTGGGGAGTCGTGGAGGGAGAGGTTGTTTAAACCAGGGACTAGGAGGGTGACTCGTTGAGGGGGTGGCACTGGACGTGCAGCTTCAGGACAGGAAAGGCTTGGATGCACGGAGATAGACAGGAAGAGGACACAGCATGGGCAGAAGAAGGGAGGTGAGCAAGGGCTGGGGCGTCTCAGGGGCAGGCACGTGAGCTATTTGAGGGGAAGCGTGGGTTTGGTGGGGCTGTATCTTGAAGGACCTTAAATGCCAGGCTGAGGCATCTGGGTTTTGTCCCAACGAAATGGGGAGCTATTGAAGATTTGTGAGCAGGGAGGGACTTGATCGGAGCTTTGGGACAATTGTCATGTCAATAGTGGGTAGGAAGGGTTGTAGCCCGGAGGCTAGGAATAGGGGACCCATGAGGAGTCTGCCTGACACCCAAGTGGTGACCCGGGGCCATCAGGCTGCCACAGTCCAGAAGAGAGGTCAACGTGGGGAATGGAGGTTGGGGGAGGGCTGAGACATAGCCTCCATGAAGTTCACCACTTGATTCCACATGTTGCCATTGTGTTTGCATTTAGTTATCTGCAGGCCAGGCCTGGGTCTCACTCATCCTTGTGTCCCTTAACTGACCTTGAGTCCTACAAAGCCCCACCTGGTACCCGGTACATTGCTCTGTGCTGAATGAGTGAAGTGAATAAATGATAGTTCTTCTGTGCACATGGGAAGCCCCTCTGTGCCTGCGGGGAAGGCCTGGCTCCGTGAGCTCCTGGCTCTGGGTTGGGCTCCCATACAGCCAGCCTCTCCCTGGCAGGGCCACCATTCCCATGACTGTGAGGTCCTGAGCAGACTTCTCTTTGGCTCAAGCCCAGGGCTAAGGAATTCTCTCTCCAAAGCTCCCCAGCGGGGGCCAGAGCTTCCCACCCCTCAAGAGCCAGGCGCTCCACACAGGCTTTGCAGCAGGATTCAGGGCACTGGAAACAATTTTGTCCCACTCTAGATCTGAGATCTTGGTGGAACAGAGAAGAAAAGCTTAGGGAGACAGGGAGGGGGAGGGAATCGTAATAACAGCTGCTAGTTCTGGAGCAAGGACTATGTGCCAGGCACTCATTTCGGCCTCACAGCAACTCTACGGGGAAAATACTGTCCCGTTCCCCTTTTTATGGACGAGGATACCGAGGCTCAGAGCAGTTGTTGCTTGCACAAGGTCACATAGCCGGTAAGTGTTGGAGGCAGGATTGGAACCCAGGTCCAAAGCTCTCGCTTATTAGCTTCTGTGCCTTGACGTCAGAGCTGTTTCGTTGGTAGGCAGTAGTGACAAAGGGGCCCTAGACCCTAGATGTTTATTTTTCCCCTGGTTTAGAAGAAAATCATATTCTTTAGGACTATTTGGTTGCAAGTGATGGGAACCCAGGTGAAACTTGCTTTAAAAGGAAGGAGGAAAGAGAGAAGGCTGTTTCTTGCTCACAAACCAGAGAGCAGAGCTGGTGCAGGCTGGAACCAGGGCCCCCCAGCTGCCAGGCTCACGGCCCTCGGTCTCTCATCTCAGCTTATCCCAGGGTGTCAGCTTCATTCTCTCAGACCAGATCTTCCCCTGGCCCCAGCAACATCAGATGCTCGTCCTTATAGAATAGTACTGAGAATGGAGGAAACTCTTTTCTGCCAACCCAAGTTAGAGAAATCCTGGGCCAGGTTCGGATTGGTCTGCCTTGGGTCATGTGACCATTCTTGGACCAATTGCCAAGGTCAGGGCATGGGATACTGCAACTGGAGTGACTGGGGTCTCGTGCTCACCCCTCAAGCGTTGGGGGAGGGGGGGTGCTCTGGTTGAGTGGAAGCCACCCTCAGAAACTCATCATTTGAAAGAGCATTTCCTAGGAGAGACGGGTACCGTTAACCCCCCAGCACAGAAAACAAGGCGGACGGCTCCTGTAGGACCCGCAATTAGCTACATTTTCAGGATGCCCTTGAGTTCCAAATGGGTATTTGTGGTCTAGTGTAGGAGCAGGGCCCAGTGACAGAGAGCATACCTGCCTGGGAGAAACAGCAATGACACGGGCCCTTTGATCTATAGTCCCTCCCTGCCGTAACAGGGGGCCACATTTGGGGGCCCAGGCTGTCCAGGGTGCTTAGCTCCTGAGTCAGTTGTAAGTGACAGAAACACAACTCAAACTGACTGAAGCAAAAAAAAAAAAAAATTTAATTCCTATAACTGAGCAATCCAGGGGCTTCAGTCCCTGCTGGACCCAGGGTCTCAGGATCACCTGGGATCTGCCTTGCTTATGTCCAGGTTCTGTGTTCTCAGTGTTGGCTTTAGTCTTAGTCTTGGGCAGGCTCTCTTGAGGCGGTGGCAAAGCTGTACCAGGCTTATATCCAACCAACCTGGCAGCCTCAGTTGGGAGAGAGAGAGAGAATGAGAGCAAGCCTGTTTTCCACTAGCTCCAGCAGGAATCCCAGGAGTGGGCCGTTCTTGGCCTGGCTTGGAGCATATGCCCATCCCTGAACTGTAGCCAAGGAGGACACATGGCTTTGGTTGGCCAAACCTGGAGCCCACGGGCTGAGAGTGGTTTTCCAAAGGGAAATCAATGCCTTGTTACCAAAAGAAGGAAGGAAGGTGTGCTGGGTAGGCCAAGCTGGGCCTATCCAACAGGACACCCACCGACTCTCTCCCACCCCAGCACTGAAGTATCCTCTGGCTGCTGCTGGGTCCACCCCTCACCAGTGTCAGCTCCGTGTCCTCGCACCCTTCCACCCTTTCCAGAGGAATGCGCACACACCTGCTGCTCGCACCTCTCCCCGAATCGCCCTTTAGAACCACGGATTCATAGACCATTAGTGCTGGGAGGGAGCTCAGCCCTCTCTCGGCCTCCCCTTTATATTACGCGTGGTCACACCAAGCCCCAGAGAGGACCAGTGACCTGGCCATGGTCGCCCAGTGAGTAAGGGCAGAGCCGGGCCTGGAACCGGCTAGTTGGACTTCCATTCAAGGGATATTTACTTCCTTATACTGTAAGTAGAAGTGAATGACATCGTGCCTCCCTTTCAAATATAAAAAGCATCCCTAATAACAATAATGATACATTGGAAAGGTATTCATGGTTGCCAGAGACTTTGAGACTGGATCTTCAGTCAAGAGAATCGACAAGGGAGGTGGGTTTCTCATTAACCACCCTCAGCATTTCCCGTCCAACACTAACCATTTCCTGGCCCCTGGGAGGCCCTGCCCTCTGGGCAAACGCCAGCAGCCTGCTTAGCAAGGACAGGCCAGATGAGGGAGGAC